TTGTGATCCTATTTTGAATATTTTTTGCTTATAAACTTACGCCCTGGCATAGAAGTGACATCTACTGAGAAAAATAATAACTAAAATCGATTACTTTTTAAAGATTAGAAAATTCCCAATGGAAATTGCTAACTGGGAAAATAAATATTAATTAGGTGGGACACATATTGACCCACCATGCCGCAAAGGGTTAAAGAGGATTTGCCAACTTTAAGTGGAAATTTTCACTTTTAGAGAATTGTGAAGTGTTCAGTTAGTGCTGAAACTGAGAAATTAGAATCTGAATGTGAAATGTAAATAAAAATGAAATCATGACTTCGGTATAATATTACTGTAGTTAGGACATTAAGTGTTAATATTGCCTAAAGGGACAATTTCCCAGAAAGGCTATTAATTTCATTTTGGCATTTTGCATCATCCACTATAAAATAGCATTTCACTTTCAAATTGTTGCCACCAACTATTAGAGCCCTGCATTATATTTAAAGAAATTGAATGATGAAGAATCTGCATGAATGTATGTATGTTTTTCACATTGTGAAAAAGCAATAGTACCTAGAGACATCAAATTTTGAATAACGTAGTTCTCCACTCAAATATGAACATCTGGAAGCCCAAATTTGGAATTTGTTTTGTTATCTATTTCATATTTTGTAAAATTTTAACGAATTTTTGATTAACAAACTTAACAATTTGAAAGCAAGTAATGGCAATACCATACGGGGAAAAAATGCATTTTTACCTCCAGCTCACGAGACTATGTATCGGAAGTTCTAAAGATATGCTCTTTTAAAATATTTTGTCATATTGCTGTTGCATTGAATTTTATGGTTTAAGTGTGAAGAACATCATATTTAATAAATTAAGGTAATACACAAAACATTAAAAAGGCACCCCTTTGGGCGTAATATTAAATCTAATGGCTTTCAGTTTAAAAAATATACATATATTCAGCTTGTAAAAATATATATAAATATATTTTTGGTATTCCGTGAAAAAAAGTTTGAAAGCATAAATTTCATTTGGACTTCAAAAATTTAATTTTATTTTCAAAAATGTAATGCTCAAAATTTATGTTCTACATTATTTAAAAATTGTTATTTAGTTCAAAAATTCGTAATTTATCAGGGGCGTAGCTAGAGGGAGGCAAGGGGGGCCATCTGTCCCCGGGCGCAGAATCCAAGAGGCGCCAAACTGATGTTACGACATTTTAGAATTAAATGTTTTCCATCCTTGGCAAGCAGTAGGGGGTGTGAAATCTTCAGTTGTCCCTGGGCGCTGAAAACCCTAGCTACGACTCTGTAATTTGTAATTTCCATATTATAATAAATCTCTTACTTTTTTACTGTTTTAATGCCCTCTTTTTCTCTAAATGCCGTTTTCTGTCTTCTTTCCTTTTTTTTTTTTTTTTTTTTTTTCCTTGAAGATGATATAGGTAAATCAAGATTCTGTCTTTTAATTTGCAGTGATCTGATGGCTCTCATTATCATTTTTAATTTGGTTTAAAAATAATAGCCGTTTGTAATAACATTAAACTGTATGTCTGCTTTCTAAACTGTATCATTTTAAAGTTAATCGCTGTCATATGATTCTTAAATAATACCCATGACACAGATACTTTCATAGTGCACCAGTCAATTGCGATTTCAAATTTGAGAAAGTAAACCTAATATTAACTAAGGGATAAAGCTTAATTAAAACTACCAAGTAAAACTTTCATCTTGATCACTCTCTGTGTCTATATTACTCTGCTATCACTGCTTTCATTACCACAACATCTTAAAAATGTAAAATTTACTAAACAAAGAGGTGTGCTTTGTATATTATTAGTTGTGTTTACATCAAAAATGATTTAAATGAAAGTTAAAGTGTTTGATCTGCCATGATTGCTTTAGTTTCTTCATTAATAGGCATGCATGCATGCACACATGCACACACTTAATATTTTATATTTATTTAATATTTGTTTCATAAGAAGAATTGAATTAATTCAAAAATTTAATTTAAATAAAAATTAATTTAATTAAATATTCTTTGTGCCATTAATGCAAGGATGAAATTTAAATTTAACAAATTAAATTAAATTTTAGCAAACACATATAAAAGTAAAAAGCAAATTTAAAGCCAAAACAAAAACAAACAAACAAAAAAATTTTTTTTTAAATGTGTGTAAACTATAAAAGATTTAATTCTCGAACTAATCTACAATATCATTTAAATTCAGAAGTCTAGCAAATCAAGTGCAAACCAATCCATGAAAATAAAATTCACTAATTTAGCAAATTTAAAATTAATCCAAAACAATTTTTTTTAAATGCATAAGTGAATGACTGTTGAGCAGGGCAGGAGACAGACTTATCAAGGGGAAAGTTGCCTCCAAACCTAACTCTCCAATCATTCAATTCGTGTTTCGTCATTCATGCATGCAAGGGTAAAAGTCAAACCAAAAGTAAAAAAGTGAAGACTGTCCAAAAAGAAATACCAATAAAGTGGTACCCTTAGAAATTAACATTTAAGAATTAAAGTTCTAAAAGGAAAATACTAATGAACTCTTTTGAGAAACAAGTAAGTCAAGTATTAATTAAACTTTTTTTAAAAAATTAAATTTAAAAAAAAAACTATTTTTTATAAAAAAGACTAGAAATAATGTATTTTATAAACCCTTGTCTAGAGAAACCTCCCCGACACGAATATGCATATCAATGAAAAGAAACTAAAAAGAATTAGACATAATCCATATAAACCAATAAGAAAACAAAAAGAACTAATTCACAATTTTTAAAAAAACAAATATATACCTAAAATATAATTTCATATCTAGGAAACTTAGTACTACATAAAAAATTTTAAAAAATACTTAAAGCAAGTAAATAGTAAGTTTTTAATTCTAACTTACTACTAAATGAGCGTTGGGGTCTGCAAAAAGTGTTTTAAAGAGAGTAAGTGTGTTCTTCAAATTAATTATATAGATGGGCTTATGTAGGTAAAGTTGTGTGCCAAGCTGCTATCTTGTTATATTAAAAATCTTTTGCAAACATTAATATTAAAATATAAATAAATCTAGAAAAATGAAAATTAAAAATCCTAAAGGTATATAATTCAAGTTTTAATTTTAACGATAAATTATTTAGGGAGTTAAGCCAATCTAGAGAGGTAAGTTTGCTTGAAGTAAAATAGACTTAAGTGGTATTGCGAATTAATAAATGTAAACTGTTTGTAATGTGAAATGTGTGTTCTGTTGAAAAATTGTGAGTCGCAACCCCTGGAACTCTACATGAAATTATGACAGTAACTGCGTCAGACAGAGCCCAGCTAACTTTCAGCACCTGCCAACCGTACCTACATCAGGCCTCTCAGGTTTGTTCTGATCAACAGGTCTCTTTCTAGGCAACGGTGACAACAACCAGTCTTTTGTTATGAATCATACTGATTATGATTTCATTTTAAGCTATGCCCCTTGACATAAAATCTGTTTACTATTTATTAAAACTTTAGACTGAGTGAGTATGTTACAAAATAAAACATTAATAATAATAATAAACATAAAGCTAACTAAAACGTAAATAAAATGCCACTTATCTTCTTTCAAATATGTCCAATTATTTATAAGTGTAAAATATTTAATGCTACTTGATAAATTCCATAAAGTTAATTTTATTCTCAAACTTATTAATTATAATGTTAATTAAGCTATGCTTAATAATAATGCATCCTACTTACAGATCTATATTTTATTTTTAGGATGGTGTTACAAAAGTGAAGTTCAGACATAGATAATATTTTTAATTGAATTTATTCAGTTCCCATTTGTTCATAGGTACTTAATTTTTTTTCATTAATGGTCCTTAAAAGTACTTAATTTCCATGTGCAGAAATGTGTACGAATCCTGAAAAGATGTTTAATTTGCTTTGAACTGTCTTATTATCTCTTTCCTGTGTTATTGTTCTTTGGAGAAGGGCCTAGAAACATCATCATTTTGCATCCCTGGCTTCAAAAACAGTTTGAAGTTTTTCTGTGCACTCAAAAGCCATTGAGTATGATGGGAGATGTTCGGCTTGAAATTCTACACATTCGCCATTATCATCGTCACTTTCATAATTTTTTTCATCTGCTTTAGCTTAAATTTCAGCTTTAATTTCTTCTAGAGTAGGTATCTCAGAAGTGAAAGTCAACAGATGCATAATTTTGAAATTCTTCTTTACTTATTTCCAAAGTTTTATCCTATTGGAATATTATTATAGTTACATAAAATTCAAAATTTAATGTATTTGAATTAGATAAATGAATTAATATATAGCAACAGCCAAATTAAGAGTTAAATTCGAGAAATTTATTACCTGCTGTTACATGTGGGAGGCAGTTACAGGCATAATGGTTTGGCGATGTTTTGCTGCATGCTGGAAGAAACGACTGGAAGAAAAGAAGGGGAAAACATATTTCTTTGAAAGTTCTACTAAAAACAGCTCTTACTTAGGAATGAAACATTCTTACACAAAAAAATTAGTTGAATCCATGTCAAAGTATCATTTCAGCTAAAAGATGTGTAACGAAATATTGACTGTCTCCATATTTTTATGTTTTTATTAAAAATAAATTGTTTGTTTAAAATGTCCAAATACTTATGATAGTTCGTCTTCAGAACTTAAAAATTTTCTTTTACCAGAAACTTTTTTGATATCTTCTTTCAAAACAAGTAGGTTTGAAACTAAAAGATCAACAGTATATGTGCACAAAAAAAGGTGGAGGGGTGTTATTTTGCTAATATTTAGTAACTGATATTTCAAATCAAGCTGAAAAACAAAAATGTCTGAAAACAAATGTGTGCCATTGTAAATAATTTATTCTAAAAGTTAAGTTCTGTTTTAAGGAAAAGGTTTTTTTACTTTTGTATAGAGAGATTTTTAATTAGGAAAACTTGTTTAAAACATTACTGTTGCTTGTGATAGGCAGGAATGATTTCAGTACTGTTTAATGCATTTTCTTATGTTATATTTTGCAGGTACCCCACATGGTCTAAAGCCTGTTTCTTCTCATCTGTCTGTGCCAACTCCTTATGGATTGCCGAAACCGGTCGGCCGGAATGTGGTTTCTCCTGTGCATCAAAGTTCATCTCATAACAATGCTTCCTTTACCCCATTTGGAAATGGTGTTAATCCTGCTCTTAATGCTACCAGAACGTCAAGCTTTGCTGCTGCTTTAAGAAAATTAGCAAAGCAGGCTGTGGATCCTGCAGCAGGTAACCCAAAACTTAATGCCATTAAAGCTTAGTTTTACTTATTATAGAGTAGTTCCTTAGATATCATTAAAATTTTGTGGTTCAAATCAGTTTTGTGTAATATTGTCACAATTAATCTCTATCTAAAAGTAGAATTTGGTTATATTCTTTTTTTACTGAATTTGGGAAGTTATAACAAATTCACAATATTATATCAAGATTTAAAGAAAGTTTCTCACCATTGCAAAAATCTTCTGCGCAAACAATTCATGTTGACATGTTTAGTTATATTTTGTCAAAAAATTTGAAAGAAAGAGACTTGCTTTAGAACACTGTGTTGTAAAATTTGTAAAAAAAGTTTATGAAGTACTCTGAAATATAAGTACAAAGTCTCACTCTGGTCGACCTATTGATGTTGATGAGTCCCGCCTGCAAGAACTTAAGTATAGATTATATCAAGAATTCCATGCATATAGTGAATAAAATAGATAACACATTCCAACAGTAAGAGGCAAGACAAACTACACCCAATTTTGTACTGCTGTAAGGGTTCAAATGAAAGTGGTGCTACAGTTGCTTTGAGAATTGGTTCAATGATATTAATATAAATTAGTATAAAAAAGAAAGGAGTAATACAGACATAACAAATAGGCTAGATAAAGTCACCTTGTAGGTTGAAACAAGTGTCCCAGTGGTCAATAAGATGATGGATACCCTGTATGAAGAAGATCCAAGGTTGATTGTGAACGAATTTTCAACAGCAGTTTGGATCTCAATATCATCGGCAAATCGCCATCCCTTCAGAGATTTCTTGAGTGGACTGAAGATGTGATAGTCAAAAAGTGAGTGGTCTATCCTTTAAGGGAACCTCCCAGCAGAATTGCCAAAACAATGTTTAACATGCCACAGCTGCATGAGGATGATCATTATCGTGCAAGAGGATAATCCCACATGACGGCATGCCACATCAGTGATTCTTGATATTGTGTCTCAGTTTTTGCAATGAGGTACAGTACGTGTCACCCGTAGGTAGTTCATTAGGTAGTCACAGTGACAGTCATGCACGTAGGTAGTCCATTCCAACAGTTGTAGGACATAGACGCCAAAGAAGTACATTACCGTGGCTTTGCCTGCTCTAGTGGATGTGCGAGTCTTTTTCGGGCATGGGAATGGGAATGAAGAGTTTTGCCCATTCCATGTTCATGCTTTTGATGGCTGGATCAAAGTGGTTGCACCATGTTTCCGGCAGTGATCTTCGAAAGGAATTGGTTCCCATTTCGTGGTACCTCATGAGGTGTTGCATGGAAACAGACATGCGATAAATCTTCTGCTCCTCTGTCAAATGTTTTGGCACCCATTCTGCACAAACCTTGTGGTATCAAAATCTTTCATGCAGTATTGTGTGCACACTTCCTATGCTCATAATCATTTCCTCCCATATTTCTCGAGTGGGGATTCACCTACTTATTTTCACAAGATGGTCCACATCTTCAACTGCTTCCTAGGTGATCATCACATGCACTTGACCAGGTCATGGCCTATCATCAGTACTACTTCTTCTACTACGAAAATCCTTACACCATGGGAATGCCGATCTGCGTGTCCTACACTCCATGCCGTATAGATTTTGCATTCAACGATATATTTCTGAAGCACTTACATTTTCTGCTTTTAAAATTTGCATGACCATGCGTTGACACCATTTGGAGGCATCCATGATGCGAACAATGCCTTTTAATATGCTGTAGCACTATCATACGTGCATCTGGCGGGATCTGAAAATATCGCATGCACTCCCAGCACTCTTTGCCCTCTATAGGGGCATGTACAGTCATCTTTGTCTTCAAATAATGCAGTTATTACAGCAATACCACTTTCATTTGAACTACCCTTATTCACACAGTAATTAAACTTGTTTTCATTTGTCATACCTTAATAATTTGTGGGATAAATGACATAGCATAAGTGATCCTTTCCTCAAGCTACGTTTCTTCCTCTAAAATACAAGTTTATGATTATGAATATTCATTTTATTTGTAAAAATATAAAAACACTAAAATTGAATTGGAAAAAATATTGATAAGTTTAACCTTTGCTTATTGTCTGACCACAAAATTAATCTGCAGTTTACTGCTGGCATGATGCAAATTGCAAGGAAATTTTATCCATATTTCTTTTACAAAAATTAAGATTCCATTATTTTTGTTCTATATTTTGAGAATAAAAAACTCATTAATGACATGTATTACTGCTTTTCATCGACTGTGGTGGAGAAACTGCTTTCTGTGCATTGCATTTCTTCACTGTCGTTAAACCAACATTAGAATACAACTCACCTCCATCTGCATTTTTGATTTTCATTTCTGTCACAATCTTCATCATTTAGATAACATGACATGTTTGGAAAAACTGCATATCACATTCTGAAAATATTGAAATACCATTTTTATTTTTGCCAGTAACATAGCACTTGGCAAATCTTCATTCTTTTCATCATTATTCTCTTCAACACAATTTGTTAGACTGGTTTGCAGAAAACGGTTTTGGATGATTGGTTTTGTAACAAGTTGCCAAGCCTTTTGTAGTGCTAGTGTTCCGTTAGAGAATGGAACATTATAATGTACATGTTTTTGTACTTTGTGCAAGTGTTTTGTCCAAAATACTGAAACTGAACTGATTTTCCTAAATGACACTTTGTTCCTTAAGTGTAAAAACTGAAGTTTAATTTGGGGCAAGAAATGACATCTACATATGCAATGCTTAGTTACAAGTAGTAGAATCATTTGCCTTTTGGCCACATTTTTTTTTATCCTACTTTTGTAGCTGTTGTTCAGATATCTCTAATGTTGTTTATGTGTTCTAGTAAACTATATAGAAAACTGAACAAATTTTCAGATTTTTTAAGCATCTTGACTTGAGATTTTCCAGCCAGCAAAAATTTACTGTGCTCAGTGTCATTATGTTTTTTTCTGGAAGTACATCTTCAGTATTTAAATTTTAAAGTTCAGCTTAACATCATTATGTAATAGAGTCCATCTTACACTGAAAATATCTTTTTGTAGTGGTGAGAGACAGCAACCTTTTTCTTAACGTTTTATTTGAGCATTTATTTATTTTATTTCACTTCTTTGGGTGTCAATGCAACTGTGGCTTTCCCTTAATTGCCAATTTTTTTGCTTCTTATGAAGGGTCAAGTTTCAACTAAACCAATGTCAAATTCGACATCAAGTTATGACCAAAACCTACATCAAACATGAAATTGTTGCTTTCCTTAATTTTTTTTTTTTTAAAGGTTTTATTTTAAATTTGTTCCCAAATGGTCAAAGGAAATTAAATATAGATTGTTATCAGATGTCAGTGAATGTTGTAATAATACCTCAAATTGTAGAAGCACTTTCTTACAGTTGATAAAAAAAAAATTAATGGATTTTTTTAAATGAATTATTATTTTTTATACTTTGCGATTACAATAATATTTTTGATACCAGTTTTTTAATGAAATGCAAATTATTTTTGGTAACATTTATGCTTGTGTTCTGAAGTTATATACAATTTATATTCTTTTTGCATTAAAATTAAATTATAGCAAAAACTTTTTTTAATTATTATTAAAGATGGCAGCTAGAGAGAATTCATTTTGGGGAAAAAGATATTTTCATTCAGTTTAAATCTCTGCTAATGGTAATACATTCAACATTAGAACTGTAAGAAAGGTATTCAGTCTTTCAAAGATATTTTTGAATAAATGGGCTATTATATGCTATAATGAATTAATTTCTTTAAGATTCCAGGAGGAGAGAATGCGTTCTGGAGAAACTTTTTTTTTATTAAATTGCAATTTGTATTATAATGCACATACATATCTAGTATGAAGTGCAATTTGTTTTCATGCTGTTTAATTTATATGATTATATGCATAGCTTTACATTGCTTTTGCAGAAAAAGAATTATCTCCAATCTCGCCAGTGTCTTCACCTGCATCAAATCAACAATCCAGTCAGTCCAGGCATCCAGCAGCATTAACATTATATGCAAATAATCAAAGTTCTGCAGCTCTCCATGGATCACCACCACCTTCAGTATCTATCACTCCACTTCAGAATTCCAGTGGAAAGGTTATTCAGATCTTTTTTATTTACATATTTTTATTAATTTATGAGTGATAGTAAATATTATAATTATCTATTTGTTTTTAAGTTGTTAAGCAGGACTGTAAAATCCTGTTATTTTCATTTTGTTCTCTTTGTTTGTAAAATGTTTAATGTAAACATTTACAACATTCTCTTGTAAAATGTTTCATTGTTAGTGGTTGCAGCTGAATTAGAAAAGGTGTGTGTTTTAAGGACCTTAAATTTTTAAAGTATCTTTAGTATGAATTATTTTTATCACTTAAAAAATAAAAATTCATTAAAAATTTGATAACATATTTCTATTCTGAATCTCATAATATGGAGATTTCAGACTACATTTATCAAGAAAATGCTATTCTTGAGTCGTGCAAACAGGAATCCATATTTCAGAATTTATGTTTTTAAGAGATACTGTATCATAGTTCTTTTGTGTTTTTGTTGTTATATTTGCTAAATGATGTAATATTTATCATTTAGCAAAAATGTTTCACACAGAATGCAAAAACATTTTGAGTAAAATTGTAAAACTCAAATGTAAAACATTTTGAGTAACCAAAAATAAAAAGTTCTTAGGAAAATTGCTAATTTCATTAACAGTAATTTTCCTTAGATAAGCTTTTTTTTTTTTTTTTTTTTTTTTTTTTTTTTTTTTTTTCTTTTTCTTCTTGAAATGATGTTGTGATGTAGCCGTTCCTCAATAGACACTAATGCCGGCTAGCTTTAAAAGGATTTATTAACAGAGCACACAGGAACGGTTACAAACAAAAGAAATATACATAAAAAATGAAACATATACCAAATGGAACATCAAACATTGAGAATAACATAACACAGTAAGCTATCATCATGGCGGCTGGAGGTCGACTGACGTTTTTTTCATATCGCCACGAGATGGCGTTTAAATAAAATAGTTCGGTTACAGTTCATGAGTTCATGGTGTGAATAAAATAGTTCAATTACACTTAAATAGGTCTGTTACATCCTCCCCCTCTGACTTCGTAGACGTCTCGGCAAGAAGTCAGGAACTGACCTTTGTCTACTTTGTGCAGCGGGCGGAGAATCAGATGAATGGGCTCCAGTTTGACGAGCAGTAGATTTTGCGTCACCAGCACCTTGTGCAACAGGTGCAGATTCGGGTGGTATTACACGTTTCGGGCGTCCTCTTTTCCTTAAGGGAACCACTGGAATTACACGAGCTGAGTTTTGCTTATTTCGATCTTGATATGGTTTCAAGGCTGAAACATGATACTTGCCGAGAATTTTGTCTGGTTCATGAGGATCGGCAATATCATAAGTGGTTGGAGATCTTGTAGTCACTATCACATAAGGACCATCTCTCTTCGGCATGAATTTAGCAGTTTTCTTCAGTGGACCTTTGCTGATTGGGTGGAGGGTGACCCAAACTTTATCTCCAGGAACGAATTTCGGTGTTTCTCTTCGTTTTTTGTCAGCATATCGTTTCTGCTTATCTTGATGCATTTCGACTCTTTCTCGTACCTGTTGTACATTTCTTGCAAAACGTTTCAAATATGGAGTAATTTCGGGAAAAAAAATTATCGTTCTCAATTACGGCTTTTATATCATGCTTTACATCATCTAAGGTTCGTAACTCTCGTGCAAATTGAAGAAAAGCAGCAGAATGTCCAGTTGAATCACATTTGGCTGTATTCAAAGCAAACCTTATTAATGGCAGTTTATCCTTCCATGACTGATGGTCGTTACCAACAAGTATTGCTAAACGTGGTTTCAGATCTCTATTCTTCCTTTCAACTGGGTTAGATTGTGGGTGATAGACAGGAGTAAGACTTTGATCAATGTTCAAGATATAGCATAGTTGTTGCATAACAGCACTAGTAAACTGGGTACCATTATCACTTATTATTTTCCTGGGTAACCCAAATCGAAGGGCGACTTCCTCCAAAAGAATAGTGGCACATTCTCTGGCCGTGGCTTCCTTTAAAGCAAATAGTTCTGTCCACTTCGTAGCACAGTCCTGCACAATAAAAATCCATTTTTCACCAGACGGTGTTTCAGGAAGGGGACCGAAAAGATCAATTGACAAGGTCTCAAAACGTTGAGCATAGACTGGAGTTTGAAGTAAGCCAGATGGCTTTTGATTAGTGGCTTCTCCCCCTACTTTGAAGACAGTGTGATATTTGTTAAGCAATGCATCAGTTGCAAGCCGTTGGGCTGTAGTTAATTGCTGTCCTTCATTTTCTCTCGTAGTCGGCAGTTGTTTACAACAACTGGGGTTTCTTCCAGTACTTGGGATTGATGAGGTTTCACGAAGCTATATTTTCTTCGAGGTTCATCAGAAAAGTTCCACTTATTTTCAGCAAGATTTAAAACAATTTTAGCTTTTTGAAGAAAGTCAGTTCCTAACAGAGTCGAGTTATTTTTGGCATCAGGCAACACAAGGAGCGGAGTTTTGAACTCTCTGCCTTCGAGAAGAATGATTTGTTCGGTGCGAAGTACCTCTTTTTCAGATACCAAACCATCAGCGAAAGACACCTGTAGTGTTGTCTTTTCAAATACTGCATCTTGTTTCTGCAGAATATGATAGAGGGATTCACTTGCAATTGAGTGACTAGCACCAGTGTCGGCGAAAGCTGTACCGGAAACACCACCAATACTAATTGGAAATACAGCAGTCCGAGTGGAAGATAAAAACAGGATCGGATTTGGATAGTGCCAAAATTTGATGAATTTGAAGTCTTTGGGGGGTAACAGTCTGGACATTTAGACTTGATAAAATCAGTTTTTCCGCACCCATAGCATGTTAAAGGAGGTCGCTTTTCCTCTGTTTGTTGCTGAACACGATTTGAAAAGGTTTTATGAGTTCCCTGTATGTCACTTGTTCGATTTTCTACTTTGTGTTTGGATGGATTAGTCGGTTTGTAAGAATAGTAATATAGTTCCGCCTGCCAGGAAGTTCAGTTTTATAGTTCATATTTTTAACACGTACAGCTTCATAATCATCCAATTTCTGTACTAATTCAGATGAACTCTTTATTTTTCCCCAAGTATCAATAAAATGCTCCTTAACGTCACTACTGACTCTTCTTTTAAGCTGATCCGTCAGGACCAAGTCTTTGAGTGATTCAAAGTCTGTAACATCGAGACTATGGAGCCACTCTTCGAGATAATTGTTTAATTCGTAAGTAAAATCTTTCCATAAAGACCCAGGGTGTTTTTGGTGTGTAGTAAGTTTAATTCGAAATGATTCAGCATTTAATTTGAATCTTTGTAGCAGAATCTTCTTGATGTAAGAATAATCTTCTAATTTGTCTTTTGGTTCTCTTAAAATAATTTGCGAAATGTCTATAGGCAGAAGAGGTAGGAGATGAGTGATGTAATCTATTTGTTTTATATTAACTTTCTCACATTGTCTTTCAAAAATTTGCAGGTAGGTTGCAATGTCAGAAGTTCCTATAAATTTAGGGATTAGGTGTTGAATATTTGTTCCAATAGCTGCATTTGAAGCAAAGGCGGCATAGTTAGGGTTTGAGCTAGCAGCTGCCAGGTTTAATTTTAAACGTTCCAATTCTAATAAAAGTTCTTGTTCTTTCTTTGACGTGTCTCCAGATCGTTGCTTTCACGTTGTTTTTGTTGTCTAGTTTCGATTAAAGTTTCCAGAAGATTCCTGGTAAAAGCCTCATCATAAGTGTCAGAATTGACAATAAGATCTTTAAGATCTATTACTCGCATAGTGTCGTTTACAGTGAAACCCAGTTCTGCAGCGAGGGTTTTTAAATCCTCTTTTCGTGCTTTGGCAATGTAAGCCATAATTATATGAGAGGTCAGGGGGGAGGGAAAAGATGAAGTTGAATTTGTTGTTATTTCGATTTTATTCACAATACAGTATTTTATGAATGTAAACAATGTTACTCGTACATTATATACCACTATTAAACAGTATTTATAAATGTAAACAATAATACTCATAAAGTTTATTATTTCGGAGTCGTAAAAATTCATAAAATGCCCTCATAAATTCAACTTGTATCAAGAAAATAACATATAATAGATTGCTCAAAAATTGTTTACTACTTAGCAAAACATACAAAACATACATAAATGTCTTACCATAAGCTTTTATATTTAAGCTGAATTCTTCGAAATCTTAATCTTAACAAAATATTAAGCTGATTAAGCAACACACACTTAGTAACTCTTTTACTTTATTTAAATAGTCATTCGATTTTATTCATAATTATTTTCTTTCGCTTCAAGAAATATTTTTTAAGACAATGAAAACAATTCATTATATTTTAATTGAAAACAATCGTATTTTACCTGAAGTAGTTATATTATAATCATTTTCTCAAAATGTTCGTCGAAAGATAAATCAACAAGTACAATATTTTATTTTATGTAGAATAAAACATTTAATAAGGAACAACAGCACTCAAAGGAAATAAAAATAATAAAAGATTTGACGTAAACACATCATAAATCATCGCTAGTCTAAACATTCCGCGGGGGGAAAACATCTGCTGCTGTAAGTCAGAATCGAAACTAATAAATTCTAATGAACAACGTCCATGAATATATTCAAACTTTAACATCAAAACATGTATTCAGTGAAACAATATTATCACAAATTAATTTAATATGCGCATTAACATTTTAAAATAACAAATTACAGTTCAAGAAATAACGTTTGGTTAACAGAAAGCCGTTTGCTTTCGTTTAATACTCTTATGTAGTATCAATAAATGAGATTTCAGTAAAGAATTTACATTTGCTTTAAGAAGCAGCTTATAATAAATAATCAGTTTAAAAGAACTTTAAACTCAGATTAAACGATAATGTAAACGAAACTTATCTTTTCCGTTGAAATTGTCCAGTTGATGATTCGATGTGCTAGCAGCACGGTATGACAATTTTAATTCCAGAATTGGTTTCCAGAATTTTTGACCAGTAGTCCACACCTGAAAAGAAACTGAGCCGATCTCCAGCAACTAAAAGTTAAATTCGGGAGTAAGTAAGAGCTTGTTAAAGCCAAACAGAAATTCTAAACATTTTGTTGCGCCATTTTGGATTCAAATTTAGTTGGGCGCCAATGTGATGTAGCCGTTCCTCAATAGACACTAATGCCGGCTAGCTTTAAAAGGATTTATTAACAGAGCACACAGGAACGGTTACAAACAAAAGAAATATACATAAAAATGAAACATAAACGAAATGGAACATCAAACATTGAGAATAACATAACATAGTAAGCTATCATCATGGCGGCTGGAGGTCGACTGACGTTTTTTCATATCGCCACGAGATGGCGTTTAAATAAAATAGTTCGGTTACAGTTCATGAGTCAATGGTGTGAATAAAATAGTTCAATTACACTTAAATAGGTCTGTTACAATGTTAAATAAAATCAGAATTTACTAATACTGCAATATAATCTAAAATTACTTTTTAATCAAAACAATTATGCAGTAACTGATTGAAAAGTGTAAAGCCAGTATGACATTGTGCATAGAATCTTGCAGTCATAGGTATTTATGAAATACTAATTTTCTTGTTATTTCTTTTTTTTAACTGTAATTTTATATGTTATTAAATATAATGTGCACATGGTTATTTACCTTTAAAAAAGTAATATCATTTATGAATACTTGTTAAAATTGTACAGTTTCTTAATAAATCAATTAAAAGGAGCAGTAAGGATCTGATCAGCATAGTTTTGCTATATTAATCATGTGACAATATACCTGAATCAATTTGTTATGTAAACAACTGAGAGATGGTTGTCCATTTGAGTTGTGTATTTTGCTTTCCTAAAAAATGTTAATCCGAATGGGATTTTCTTCAAGAGGTGAATTGAAGGATTCCATGTGAAAAACTGGAGTTGATTTAATTTGAAAGCTCTAGACCTGTAATTATTGCTATCTCACAGAAAGCATGGTCACTATAGTATTAACCCTTTGGCAGTTACCAGATAATTCTTTTTTTCCGATATGCATGCTATACCCATATACTGTTGGTTGTAAATTTGTAATGCGAGTTGTATTCATTTATGCCAACTGTGATGCATAATTGGAATGCTAACTAAGCTCATTGATGACTATCAGAAGGTTAATTTTACACTGCAACAAAAACCTTTGTTATTTAACTCTGTGAGTATAATGGGTTTAGCCCTGAAATTCCAAAGTTTCCCAGAATATCATGAATGAAAGGTCTTTTCTTGATTATAATTCCAAAATGACTAAGTGACTTTGTACCTTGACTCTGTCTCATCCAGTGTATATCCAACCTGAGATCAGATGCACCAGGAGCTGGAAGAAATTTTCATGTGAAATGAATTGGGAAGTCGTCCTTTAAATGTGGTGTTCTTCATTCATAATCTTTGGAGGGCTAAAACTTTAATTATCAGTATTGTTCTTTCCAGCTTTAGAATTGATATTTTTTTTATTATGAGGAATTATAATTACTGTATTTATTTAAAAATAAGATGCTCTTAAATGTAAGACTTTCCATATATTTTAGGATAAATTTCAGCAAAATATTGGTAAATGTTTATTGTGGAGTAATTCTGGGAAAGTAAATCATAATCCCTCCCCAGTTGTTCAGATATAACAATACTGCTAGTTGTCGACATTAGTAGTTGATGCTTTGTGACTTGTTTGTTTTCAGGCATATTAATGATCAGTATAGTGGATACAAACCTAAATTGAAATCACTCAGCTAGATGTAACTATATAATTTAATTAACAGCATTTATTCATGTAATTATCTGTTATATATTTAAACAGAAGTGTTACAATAATCACCACAAACAGTCTTGTACCCTCAATTTGAGCCAAAGATGTCATTAGTCTCAAATACTTAAGAATAAAGTATATTTAAACAGTATGAAAATTAAACTGCTTCCTGTCGTTCTGCAATTACATTTATTAAAATACCCTCTAAAACTTGGAGGTTATAAAATTCTTCCAAATTTTAGAGCAAAAACATAATTAAGAAAGGAGGTCTTATTTTCAGATAAACTCAATAAAGTTTATAATCGCTTCAGTTTCATTTAATGGTACAGACAAGATGAACTGATCTGTAAATTTTTAAGAACTGAATTTTGTTTTGTTAAGGCATTCATATAAAGCAGTTAAATATACATTTTTATTCATTCTTATGTCAATGTTTCTTCTTTTTTTTTTTTTTTTTTTTTTAATTGATTTGTTTTCTTTTAAGGCATTGGATCTTGGTCGATATATGGTGGACAGTCGAAATGGAAATGTCTTGGAGCCTCTTAGCTTCAAAATGGAGAGTTCCAAATTAATTAATGTTTGCAGTGATAAAAGAAGTGATGCTCCTTCTGGAAACAATTATTTAACAGCTCAGCCAAGTACTCTAGTCAAGTATGCATTCTTCTTTAGTTAATATTTTTTAAATAAATTTTAAAATCATGTGTTTGAAATTTGAAGGTTTATATCTTCAGCACATTCTATAGATAAATTTATTGTTTGTACACAAAACATGCCCCCCCTTTTCTTACAAATCTGAATAATAGTTCTGTTTTTCTTCAGCAACATCTTTAGGTAAAAATTTAAGAATGATTAAGCTCTTTAAACCGGAATTTGTGCCATCAATGAAATAATTTTAATAATATGTAATTATAAATTTTAATACTGATTATATTGAAGTGAGAAATTGTAAAATTTCAGTATTGCTAGTTTGTAACTGAATAATATCTACTAACAATAAATAGAGAAACTGGCATGCTTCAGCTGTTAAGTTTTTAAACAAAATGACTGATGGTATGAAGTGCATTTTGGGTACACGTGTATGCAGTTAATGGTATTTTTGCATAGTTTCATCTCTGTAATATTACCTTTTACAGTTTACGGCAAGAAATGAAAGGCTTTCAGCCGTATAGGAATTCTGATGAGCGTCATCCTGCCTCATCTCGGATGTATAATTCTCCTCCACCTCCAAGTGCAGTTCCTGGTTATTCTTATCATCCATCATTTGGACAGCCATCTCAACTTCAAATGCAGCAATATAGGTATTGAAATAAATTTTTACAGAGAAGTATTGATATTTTTATATTTTGTAAGTTTTGTTATATTCTTAATGGACTACTGCAAAGAAATAAGAAAGCTAGATGTTATTTTAAGGCATTATTCCAATTTTTTGAATTAATGTGTAGTTAGGATAATGATGTTAGTTCTATGAAGAAGAAAATGTGACAAATGCAGTTGTTATTGAAATAATATTTTGCAGAATCTATGCATAAAACATTTAGCTGAATTTACACAGCAAATTTTGCTCTTTTAATATCTGTGTATAGTGGAAAAATTGACTTTTTGACATGTTTCTTTGATTTTGTCACTGTATGACTGGTTCAATTTTGTAAATCTGAATTTGTTTTTAAATCATTTTGAATGTGCCAGCCAATGAACATGCAGATTAAAAATTGATGGTATTTCTTCATTCTTGTCAGTTGTCAATATATCATCACAGAAATCATTAGCACCATTGAGCCAAAAGTAAGTTTACAGCTTATGTCAGATGAACATTTTAAATATTTATAAAAAAATAGGACAAAACTGTATTTTTTGCTAACATTATGGGATAAGTGGTACTATTTTGTTCGAAAAACATAACATATAGTCAGCCTATATATATAATTTTATATGCATTTTAAATCCTCACACAACCAAACATTGTGTAATTTTTTTAAAGAGTTTTAAATAGGAATATTGTTTTTAACAATTTTACTTTAAATTGCTGAAATATAATTACTAATTTTGATTAATCATCTTTTACGGAATAATGTTAATGTTACGGAATAATGTTTTAGGCATGAAATAGAGGCCTAATATCTCTAATAAAATTAAATTGTGTATTAAAGGAGCAATATTAAAATCAATTTTAATTTTTATGAATTGGTTGACTCTTGCTAAAAAATCTGTTTTTGAGAGTTTCTCATATTTACTTTAGAATTTATGTTGTAGATCACTGTAGATTCTAAAGTTCCCTTAGGACTGTTCAAAATTTTTATCATTTTTCAATTCCCTGTTAATTTGTTACTTCTCAAATGTTTTCTGGAAATAATGAAATTTCTTTAAATTAATCTGTTCATATTATTATATAAAGTAACTTTTTTATAACTTCCCTTAATTTGGAACTCTAAATATGTGGAAATCAAAATAACAGTTAATAAAGCTCCTTTTACTATTTAGTTGCTGCAACATTTGTGCTATTCATTAATAGTAGTAATATCAGACAAAAGCATAGATTGGCTACAATAACCAATAGTCTGCATTTTCCTTCTATTATTGGTCATAATAATCTGATTGTCTGTAGAAGTATAACCCCCTTAATGTTTGTATTAAGTGGAGTAGGTCAATCATTGATGAAGAGGCTAAATTTGTTAAGTGGTAGTTCACTCATTCTATTCCCATTGAAAACTGAACAGGCTGGATGCATGAAGTTTTCATTGTGGAATGAAAAATACAGGCTATCTTTTTAGTGAGAAGTCCTCAATGAAAGCTTCTGTCATTTCTATATTCTTTACTGTTATCAAATAATCTAACTCTGAGCTGATACATGATAACAATTAAAAACTGTGAGGCAGTGCCGAAGTTTCTCTTCAAGTGTGTTTATGGTAATAAGCTTTTGCACCATGTTGATTGCTTTGTTAATTATTTGGTAGAAGGATTTGTGAAAATTACTTGTCTAATTTAATCTCAATTTTGGGTAACTGTGCTCGGAATTTAACTTGTGATTCAAAAGATGATTAGATGGATACCTCTTTGTAAATTTTTGCTTCTTGAAAGTAAACAAGGAAAAAAAATTGATAAATTTAAATGAAAATAGGCCTATAAATGGTAGTTCTTTCTGTTTTTGTTTTGTTTCATTTTCTGAATTTGAACTGGTCAAAAAGCAGGAATATTGTTCTTATGTTTTTTAAAACAATATATGGCAGCATTTCTCAAACTTTTTTTCAAGTGGGGAACACTTTTAAAAATTTATCCTGTATTCGTCACTTTGCATGTCACACATTCCACTGTTTTGTTCCTGAGCAGTCAGCGTTGCATGAAAAGTAAAATTGCACCGTTGAAGATGAATTCATCACTACTTCATTCCACAATTATTATTATTATTATTTGTTCTTGAATGGTGCTAAGAGTTGGCACTACTAGTCCTACTGTCCTCACATTTTTTTACGGTGAGAAAAAACATAACCATTTTATATTTTCTGTAATTTCACTTTCTTTAGTTATTTTTGCATGCCAAAATAGCTTTTGTAATGGATTCAGAGTGTGGGAAAGTGAATTACATAACTAATATTTCTTTTTTGACAAAGTAAGCAGTAAAATAATCTGCAATAAATGATTTCAGTGTGTTATTTACGCTGTGATTGTCAAGAACATTGTAAATCTATTTTCCAAAACAATTTTTATGTATTTTTAATAGTTCTTTTTATGCAATTACTTATCTTAATTGCCTTAAAGCAATTCGATTTGATACATGTGTAATATCATATAAAGTATTTTTTTCATTTAAAATTCTGGTGCATTGCTGGGAAAACTGGGGATCAGTGAGCAGGAGGATATTTACATGCATAATCCCAGTAGGTCAAGCAAAAAACTGCTTACCGACAAAAATGTTTTGCATTTCTGAATTTAGGTTAAAACGCACGTTAGTTTTCAGCAATTAAGAAAAAAGTGGCGTTGGATCGGAAATTTGGGGGAGGGAGTCCAACCAATAAGGGGTTAAAATGTTCTGCAACGTGTCTTACTCTTGTCCCTTTCAAAAGCAATTCAAAACGCTATTAAAGTTTGGATAATCTTCGTGTTATTAAGTAATTGAGCTGTGTAAATCTGCTGATTTTTGCATAGCTGTTCTATCTTTGGACCTTAGAAGCATCACAGTTTTTAGAAGTTTTAGTCTTAGGGACTTTAGAAGCATCACAGTCATGGTATTTTAAATTCATCTTTTGTTGTTGGGACTAGAACAAGAAGAATGTAGGTTTAAAAAAAAAAGTTATAAATTTCATAAAATGTTGACCTTGTTTGAAATAGTGATTGATTATTGCCATGTGAGATTTTCATCTATTCTAATATCAGTTAATTTGAATTTTATCCCCCCCCCCTTTTTTTTTCTTTTGGAAATCTACGGAGCCTGCAAGGGCTGTATTCCATTAATCAACAGATTGGAAAGGGCTGATGTATAAGAAAATGATATATTTTAGCAAACATATTTGATATCAATTAGCGATGCTATTAGATTTCTTAAATGTTGACACTTTTTGTAAACCACAATTTGAATTTGAGTATTTTAAGTCTGCTTTTAGAAAAAAAAAAAAAAAAAAAAAAATTACAAGCCTTCAAAATCATAATTTAGTTGTTACAAAGTGACAGTTAGGGTTTTTTGCAGTTTGAAAATACTGTAGTAGATTCTTGCTTTTAGTAATAATTAATTTATCTTGTTTGATTAGGCTAGAAGAATCTGCATATATGGAAAGATACCGTGTACTTCGTCCACCTTCATTGTCCTATCAGCCTCCTAATCCACTTACCCATCCTAGAGCATCACCTTACCATGCAGGTTATTTACCTGATTTACCCCCGTCTCTGAAGCCTGGTCCGCAAAATAATTCCACTTACACTTCTAACAGGTAAAATGTGACACCACATTTTTCATCTGCTAATATGCTCATCACTTTTGCATAGTAACTGTTTTTGATTTTCTGTATCATTTTGATTTATTAACCCTCTCAAAATTTAAATATTATATTTTATTAACTTTTTAAGATAAGTGCTATTTTTTTAGCAATGTAACATATTAAAAACACTTTCATTGATTAGGGGTATATATTAGGAATAATTTTCAGTTGAATTATACTAAAAGTATGTTATGTTATGTTATCTTGTATTTTTAAAATGTGAGAATAAGTATGTTCAAAAAGAGAAAAATTGCAGTTTGTGTCCAGTTTTTAATAGCAAAAGTGTAGAGAAAATAGAGTTAGTAGAGGTTTAGTATTTTGGACTACCAGTTTCAATATTTATTAATTCATTCATCTTATTTAAAACAATGAAAAATATGATGCACGGTAAGCCATTTTATAAGATTTGTTTTTGTAAAATGGTCCAATAATTTTACTTTTTTGGTTTTCTAACTTTCACAGTTCCACTAAAATGCAAGTTAATTAAATCACAGAGTTCTTGAGCTTGGAAGGAGCTTTTCACAGTTTTTGCCGGTTGTTACTGTGCTACACCTTCCTGTGATTTATTGGCCTTAGTTTTAGGAAGTCACATTTGCTTCCTGAAAACTTACAGCAGAGCCTAAGCTTATTTAGCCATGTAATAATTTTAATTTGCATTCACATTTAAAAAATTTTCTTTAATGTATTATTCGGCATTTATAAGCTATGTACATGGTTTTGTTAAATTTTTTTAGTTTTGTATAACTACCAGGTTGATATGGTAATAAATATTGTTTTACTTTAAATCTTCAATTTGAATTTGTGATCTCTGTAGTCAGAAGTTATGATGGAACTTTAAGTCGTGTCATTTTAAAAGTAAGTTGCCATGTTTTGCAATAACTTGTGGTAGGCATAGTTATTACTTGAATAATTATACAAAAATGTAATAAATATTACGTAAATATAAGTGGAATAACTTGTGACAGTTTATTTAATGTAAAATATATTTGTAAAATTGTATAAAAAGTCATTATGTATTTAACTAGTTATAGTATACATAGACATCACTATTCTGTAATATCCTTTTATTTTTAACTTATAATATGAATGCTTATCGTAGATATGTCCAAGAAGAAGGAAACCACCCTGAACACAATTCCATTAGAAAGCACGATGTAGATGTATACAGAGAGCAGGAAATGTACTTGGAACGTGAAGAGCAAGAATGTCGAGAACGAGAGATGGAGTATTTGAGGAAAGAGCAAACACACACAAGGCAAAGTCCTCTATCACGTCCCAGCTCTTGTCGAACTGATGTTTCAAATGAAGATAAAGGTAATCCTTTTCTTTTGCACACAATATTCATTTAAAAATCATTTACAAAAATTTAATTTGCCAATGCCGTCGTCCCAGTTTTAATCCAAATGAAGTCCTATACCAAACCTTTTTCGTTTAATATATCTTGAGTTCTTTAATTCTAAAAAGGGCATTATAATAAAGTGCATTTTGTCTTTCTCTGCAGATTATATGATTAGGCATATGAAACGAAATTTGAAACCTATTATTGCTCGCCTTGAAATTTGTTATCACTAAATGGTGTGATAATAATTTCTTATGTTAGTTTCATTAACCCTTTCATGATGAAAGGCTCAAACATGCATGTACTGCTGGAATCAGCTGTTTCTTTTGCAAGCATGACTCTGGTGTCAGAAGGTTTTTGATTACTAAGTTTAAATTCCTGATAATAATAAAATATATCTATATTAATATAATATAAAAGTATAAATATAATATAAAAGTAAAATATATCTTTTATATATTTTTTACATATTTCATATACTTATAAAGGTTTTTATTTATTTAAATAGTTTTATTTTGCACTTTTTTTAAAAATATTTATGTACTTATTAGTGACTTTTGACATTACAGAGATTGTTCACACATTTTTTAGATAGTTTTGCTTTTCTATAAAAAAAATCGTCTGTTTGGAAATTTTTAAAAAACTTTAAATATATATTTTTAAAGTAAAAATTATTGTCTGCTACTTGACTGTTTTGTTTTCATGTAAAATGGCACTTTTAAAGAAGCAGTGGATAGGCTGCATGTTTGTGCTCATTCCAAATAAAATTATTTGGATCTGGTTAATAAAAAACGCTGTGAAAGCCATGGTTTTTGGATATCTGAAGCTACAACAGATAGTATTATCAACAAGAAAGGGGTAGAACGTCAAAATGTGGCTTCGGGTGGAAAAATTGTTCCAAATGCTTATCGGAAGAAAAATGAAATGCAATAAATGTAAAATTTTTAATATTAAAAGAAAATCTGCCAAAACAAGGGACAGTTGCAAAACATAATATGCATTGTCTTTTTGCCCATGACATATCAGCAAATGCAAAACACTATGCAGAATTCTGTATGAGAAACATTTAGCCAGACAAAAATGGAAAAATGTTGTCACAATAGATAAATATTGGGTGTATTTAAATAAGTGCAGTAAAAAAAAGATCCATTTATTACCATCAAAGAGGAGAAAAAAATCTTAAAACATGATTTAAAGAATCTAAAAAAAATTTTTTTCTATAGAATTCATGATTGCTGCTGGATTTTTTTTTTTAAACATATCTTTCACCTTATGTTTATATAATCCAAATCTTTTTTTTTTATCTATTTTCATTAAACTATGTTTCTATAAATCTTTGCATAGTAAAATGTAAGTGCTTGTGAAATACTGAACAGTTATTACATCAATTTTCAAAGTATAATCTTCTCTGTAATCTAAATCAAGCATGTATGCTGCATCTGTATTTTAAATGTAATTTTATTTAATGCTTGGATGAAGAAAAATTGCATGCTAGGTGTCCTAAGTTTAATTTCTTTGGAATGTGCAAAAAAATTATTAAAATACTATTTCATGGTACATTGTGAGATACTGAATGTATCTGGTTGTAACGAAAGTTTTCCAACAAAAAAACGTTCTTAATAAAGTTGGAAAAACAAAACATGAAAGCTGTCTTTTATTGCAGGTAGTAATCACAACCCAAATCTGTGATTTTCTGCAAACGTTTTGGTAGTTTTCAAAGACTTCAGCCCAGAAACTTGGCTGCCGCAATTCCAGAAATATATCAACCTCATTTCAGATGCCCTGTGTAGAATGGAAGATAGCAGCAGTGAGATATGGCTGTAGGTGTGAAAAAGGTAGAAATCTGAAGGAGCGATGCTGGTAAGGTGTGGCAAAAGAACCCATTTGAGTCTATGCAGAGTCCACTCGGTGAATGCAGACACATGTGGTCTTGCATTATCTTGATGGAACATTAACTTTTTGCTCCAGAACTCAGTTCGACAATTTTCCTTGATAACATAGTCAACACAGACTATCATGTTGTTGTACACCTTACTGTCAAGGGTTTCACTTTTTTTTCCAGGTACTCTTTATGGATAATACCACGGCAGCCCCACTAGATACAAAGCATGATTTTTTTATTAGTCAAATTGCCCTTTGTTATGCTCACCAGGTGCCTGTATTGTTGAAATGAATCCACTTTTCATCACGAGTGGTGATCTGGTCCAGAATTTTGTCCTTGCACTGATATTCGAACAGATTAGTACAGGCTTGAACAATGTCTGTCCTTGTCTGCTTGAGTCAGCTCATGTGATACCCAAAGATTGAATCCTTACATCAAGTTTATGTGATGTATCGCGCAACTAATGGACAGGGCACTAACATCTAGCTCTGTAGGAAGCTTTTGAGTAGTTGCATACTGATCTTTCACAAGTTCTCTCGCAGGCAGTCCTTATCAGCATCAGTAGACAGGCCAGAGGGCTCAACTTCTTGAATGTCAAAGTCTTGTTTTTGAAGTTTTGGTACCAAACCTTTGCTGTGTCATTAGTATCTAAAGCTGTACACATGATTTGGTGACATTTTGCAGCTGACTGTGAAATGACATTTCTAATTTGGTAGCTTGATAGTTCCATTTCAGACACCTTGTACCTAAAGGTAACGAATTTATTTACAAATTTCACAACACAGCAAGTCTGTTTCTTTCAAATGCCAAAAATCGTTTGACAAACTATGATTAAACACATCAATGCAAACTTTTTGCATAGATGATATTCTCGGTGGTGGAAATCGTTCATTAAAATCTGATAATAAAATTTATCTTTATCTCATATTATAAGCCCTTAATGTTACAAAAAGTATTACATATTACTGATATGTGTGTGAATTTGATTTTTGTATCAAATTTTGTGGGATGGTTGTGAAATCTTTGCTGTTAGTAAATATATTTATAAAGGTGATTAATATGTAGTCATTAAAATATTGCTGCGTAGGGAAAAAGTTAAATCCACACTGCGTCTCAAATATTATTCTCTTTCTTCCTTTCTCTCTCTTTAGCTATCTATCTGTCTATTTATATACACATATATATATTCTGTTTCATTCTTATTGATAGTGATTTAATAATAAGATTAATTACTATTCTTTGTAACTGTAGAAATTTAAATTTTTCCTTCATAAAAGCTACCTTCAATCTTACCTATTCTTATTTTCCTATCAAAATTTTGTGTGGGGGGGGGCATCCTTTCAAAATAGCTTTTCAGAAGATACTAAAGGAGGTTATCCTTAAAATTATTTGATTTTCTGTTTGACGCGCAATAATATCCAAATTTTGGGTGCCAAGTACTTTTTCATTCTTTCTTATATTTATTCTTATAAAAAAAATTCTTATTTGAAAATCAGGTTTTAAATCGTTTCTAAATTAATGGATTAATTTCATTTTTCAAAATATTGACTTTTGAATGTATGTATTCTTATATGCATATAAATTTGTGACAGTTGATTTATTTTTCTAGGTCATATGGGATCAATAACTCAAGGAACTCCTCGTGATTATGTAAGAAGGTTGTCCCCACTTTCCTCATCAGCTCCTCTGAATTTAGCTAGAAATATTAATCATACTGAAAGTGAAGTTATGCCTGATGAAGAATACATTACTAGCCATTCTATGCTGCATGAGAATACTGATTTTAATAAACAGATATTTCAAAGGCATAACCATGTCAGGATGAATTATGCCAAAGAAAATGAAGAAAAACTGCCTGCTAGATTGCCTTATCATATAAATATGGTAAATGCTAATTTTCTTTATTGAGATTTTATAGATATAACTTTCTGTGTTTTAGAAATCTGGTTTTTAGTTATTATACATACATATAAAAAGTTGTTCATTTTCTTAAGGACTAAATTTTTTTTTTTTTTTTAATTTTATCTTCATATTTTTTAATAATTAAAAATTTAAAATAAATTTTGTAGTTTTATTAATTTTAATGAAAATCCAATTCTCCTTGTCTGGGTAAAATTTATACTTGGCACTTAATTAAGCATTCATTACACTTAAGAAGGAGTTTAAGACATATCCATGTGTTTTTTCATTCATTCATAGCCTTTATAAATATTTTCTTATTATTTTCGTTATTTTTAAATATTAAAACGTTTTATGTAAAGACAGATTCACATTTCGATAGAACACAATTTACTTATACAAATATATTTAAAATTTTGTTTATTTATTTAATTTTTATTATTGCATAAAAATATACACTGTGTCTAAAATATTCTCAAGCCATTAATTTAGAATTCAAACAGTGTTATATTTTCAAATTTTCACAGGACTAGTTTCGATGGTTTTGCCAAACCATCATTCTCAGCTGCAAAAGCACACAAATGAACGAGATAAGGTATAATGATTAGATAACGTAAGAAAGCCTGGACAAGGAGATAAGCTAATGGCGCCATCTGTTAATGAAACCAGAACTAAAACATAATTTCTTTAAAGGCTGAAGGCAAAGAGTGAAATGCCTCTAGATAATCCAGTTCACCAATGGAAGATGTATTTTGAATAATTTTGGCAGCAGAAAAATTGAAAGTGTGATTTTCAGACCAACAATGTTGGGCAACAGAAGACTTCTGTGTTTTCTTTTTTCTCACATATGCCTCATGTTCCTTAATGCGAAATTTTAAGGCTCTCTTAGTTTGGCCAATATAAATTAAACCACACTGGCAAGGAATCCTGTAAATACTACAGGAATTCATATCCGGAATGGGGTCCTTGAGTATGGAACTCGGAATTTAAATTGATGGGAGAATAAACAACCCAAAAGTTAAATTTCTGCAAAATATATGCAGCTTTATAGCTAATTGATGGAAAGAAGGGAATGACAACAGAATTTTTATAATCTCCTAAAACAAGAGTGTGCCTTTTGGGTGTGTTGAGATGAGAATTTTTTAACTGCTTGATTAATAATGTTGGGTGAAAAGCTCCTGTCAATAGCTATTGCTTTTAAATAATTTAGTTCTTCATCAAGGGCTAGTTTGGAGGAGCAAACTTGAAGAGCACAGAAAACATAGGAATAAAAGGAAGCTAACTTTTATTTAGATGACATGATGGAAGGCAAACCGATGAAGGTTTACGGTAAACCATAGTACTGAAGTTGGATGTGTTACGGGTGACCAGAATGTTGAGAAATGGAAGAGAATTGAAAGTCTCAAGTTCAAAAGTGAACTGAATAGCAGGATCATTGGAATTCATTGGTGAAAGAACTTTATTCAAATCATCTTTATTACCTTCAAACAGGGTAAAAGTATCATCTGTGTAATGGAACCATACCGGGGAGTTTATAGTTTCAAACAATTTTGATTCATAATAATGCATGTAGATGTCAGCCAGGATGGGACTGAGGGAAACTAGTCCTGTGAAAATTTGAAAATATAATGCTGATTTTTGTTGTTTGACTTCTAATTAATATTTTTTCGGCGTGTTATTGTATCTTAATTCTCAAGCCATTTTAATTTTCACAACAGTTGGCTTCAGACACAGAAATGCTTTAAGTGAGGAAAATATATGTGTTATGCCACTTTAAGTTAATCGGTTTAGTAAAAATTATAAAATCTGAATTTTTATGTACCCTTCCCTTCTGTTTAGTTGTAATTTAATAAAACTTTTTACTCATTCTAAAAAATAAATCACAAAACAGACTTCTCTTCAGTAAAAATTGATTGAGATATTTAATGTTAAATTTTGAAATCATGTTTAAGAGTCATATACGAATTTTGGGTATTATGTGAAGTGCTGCTGAGACAGGCCATGCATGCATCATGAATTGAAATAAGTAGTAATTAGAAGGAGCCAATATCTGATAAATACAGTAAAAGGATAAAACTTCCCATTTGAGTGTTTCCGCATAGGTTTTTACTGGCACCACAACATGTGTATGAGCATTGTCATGCAGGAGCATAATTCTCTCATGTCTGGAGTAGAATTGGGTGCATTTTTCTTTGAGTGCTTGACTCAGTCTCATCAATTATGTTTGGTAAAGAGCTCCAGTAATGCTGTGAGGTATTCATAATACATGACAACAAGTTAATCCATGTACACAATATAATTTTTTCCATGAATGTTCAGCTTGGCTCTTGTCATTATTTAAAAAAAAAAAAAAAAAAAAAAAAAAAAAAAAAAACACCTTTCATTTATGCTTGTAAAGCATCATTTTCAGTGTAAAAAATTGTCATTTAATGTTTCTCAATTCAGTTCGTGTGGAACCCAATTTCCTGTCTTGATTCATTCCCAAATTCATTCCGTTCTTTGTGAAATTGCATGTTGAGTCACTTCTAATGTAAGTGCAAGTTTTATATATGTCTGATGCAAATCTTCATCCAATAATGCTTCCAATTCTGTGTCTTTGCAGAGTTTCATCATTCTGCTACGTTCTTTTTCTTCAGTGTCAAATTCTTTATTCTTAAACTTTTGAAACCACTTACAACAACTTATCTTACTTAAGACAGCCTCACCGTATGCTTCAACAGACAATGAATGCCCAATTGCTGCAGATTTCTTCAGTAAAAGAAGTAAATCAAAAGTTCCCGCAAATGACGCTCATTCGGCTCAAAACTTGACATTTTCACATGAAAAAATATGTAATGCTGATGCAAAATCTCTTAACATTCAAGGTTATGTTGTTAGCAGATGTCCAACCTTACGATATGGGGTTTTCCATCAGGCACTTTAAATAATAACTTCCTGGTGATGCCATCTTTTATCAAACGGTGGAGAATTATTTGTACTCCCAATAAATAAAAATTAAAATTTTGCCTAGGCTTTGACTCCTTCTCATTGCATCTGCATGACAGTATTTCTAAGTATGGTCTATGCAATCAGCAACAAATTAGCATTAACTGCTTAATTCCCCCTCTCTGTTCTAAAAATCATAATAATAGCTTTATGGGTATTATGATTTTTAGAATTGAGAGGGGGAATTAAGCAGTTACTGCTTCCCCTCTCTATTCTAAAAATCATGTCATTTGTAGATCGGTCCATCTTGCATGGCTTGCATAACACTAATGACGTAGCTATCTCAGAACCTGAACTTTAAATTTCGAAAACTGAAATCTTTCTAATCTAAACCAAAATCTTCTGTTGGTAAGCCTCCATATTGGATAATTGCACACTTTTTAGCTTCAGCTCTCTTGTTATTTGTTACTTCTCTCCGTTTGCTTTGGCGTGCTACTAACTATGCCATTATCTAAAATGTGACACACTATAAGGTAATTAGTTCATATCCACCAATAAAAGTGATTTCAATTCAGCCTTGTCTGTCTACAAGACTTTCCGTCACGTGTCATCTTTCTAACTAAATGATAAAGTCTTCCCAGGATATAATGCAGAGAACCATCATCAATCTTTTGCAACTTACTCCAAGTCATCTTATAACATATATGTAAGATAAAAAAAAAAAAGGTAGCAATAAATTATTCTTTAAATTAGCAATAGCCCCTTAATTCCTGTTTTTAGTTTGAATACTTCCCTTCTCCCTACTAAAAATAGCAATAACTTTTAAGTACATCTTTCAAAATTAATCTGTTTATGTACTCATGCCTGAAATTGAATATGATGAAATCTCAGCTAATCAGATTAAAGAAAATTTTTACTATAAATATCATAGTGACTGACTGCACATTCTTTTTTGTTTCCTGCTTCAGTTGTTGCCAGCAGATGTGCTCCACTATATTCATTGCTAAGCTATAAATTGATATATACAAATATTGTGGGGTGCATGATGCATCCAAGAATGATATAGACTGCAGAGTGTTCATGAATAAATTAATGTATTCTTTTCATCAAAGCTCTCTCCCTTGTTTCTTTTGTAGAAGCTCATTGCATTTTTCCCAAGTATTTATGATGCAGATAAGCATCTCATCATTTAACATGTAAATCTGTGCTGTGATTTAATTCATCCACTCTCTGACTCAAAATTATCACACATGTATATCATGTATATGTGTGTGTGTGTACATGTATACATGTAGTTAGTTATGTGCTGCTTATGTTTTTTCTCTGAAATAATCAGATAGATGGAAGAAAAAACTTGGTCTTTTTTTTTTTTTTTTTTTCTTCTCAAAGAGAGTAGCAATTAATACAAATGAAGAAAACAGAAAATTTTACTTAAATTGCTAGCATTAAATTCTTCTTTAAAACAGGAACATATATAACAGATTTAGTTAAAAAAATAATTTGTATAAGCTAAAAAACCAAACAGCCCTAATGGGCCAAGGCCTGCAGTGCCCCGAAATCTGCTTTCTTGACTGTGGGTCCCGGGGTGCGTAAAGTGGACTGAACAAGTGGACAGCTTGTCGCAGGGCCCCCAAGTGTTTAGTCCCCAAGTAAACTTGGTACTCATTTTATCAACCCAAGGGATAAAGGAGTCGACCTTGCCCAGCCTGGGGTTTAAACCTCTGGCTGCACGATGCACTAGCCACTGGAATTCTACAAAGCAGAGCTGCTGCCAAAAATTCAGTGTTAATTTTTAAAAGATCCATAGAAAATTGTAAATTCTGTCAATGGAGACTGAAAAATCTGTGAGTTGTATCAAAACTCGCTTCAGTTTGAGTACTGAGTTCTAAGCTGAACTGACTTGCTGCTTTATTGTTTCAGCCCATTGCTTCATTCGTTTCAAATCTATTTGTTAATATTAATATTCCAGAATATCACAACAGACTGCAAATATGTTAAATAAAAAATCTATTGATTTAGAAATGGAAATAATTGATTTTCAGTCGGATCTACAAACAGATTATTTAGTACTCGTAAATGCAAAAAAAAGTCCATTCTTAAAAGGAACTTTTCAAAGGTTAAATTCTTACTTTATATCAACTTAAATCTGTAAAAGTGGTTTTTTAACAATCAACTTGTTAAAACTAGAGTTTAGATCCAGGATAACAAATAAGCATCTGAATGATAACACGGTATGTACCAGAGTACAATTAACTCGCAGAAGCCATGCAGTGTCAAACTTCACATTAAAATATGCTCTTTCTGCATTAAATTTGCATCTTATTGAACTTTTAATAAACAGTAATATAATGAATACATAATTATGCTTTTTCTTAAACATATTACACCACTCATTTTTAAGTTTTGTGCATTATATATGTTTACAAGTGAAATATTAAAAGTGCAGTTTATAAATGTGGCTACCCCAAATTTTTTAATTTCTAAATTGGCTCTTATCAAGTTAAAGATTAGGCATGATTGTGTTAAAGCATCATTATCAAATCATCAGCTGCATGTTATGTAAAAATATTTGAAAGGATATCTTTCTTTCTTACCTTCCTTATGCTTCCGATATATAATATGATATCGGAAGCGCTGTAAGCACTGTCTCCGAAAGACATCTGTATTAGCGCTTATGCTTTTTGATGTGCCATCAGGTTGCCTTAAAGCCACAGGTCAGAGATTCACAATTTGTGTCTTCAGCAAAGCAGTATCAGCCCAAAAGAACATGACCTTCAAAGATGCCATCTATTGGCAAAACATCGTCATTAATAGCTAAGTAAATGGACCAAAGAGTTTACAAAACCAATTTTCGATGGCGCCACAATGTAGAAACAGCATGTAGGCACAGCACATGAGCAAATGCCACCTCAATGTCAAAGACAGATAAGTCAAAAATAGTATTAAATAATTTCTGATGTTTTTCTATAATTGAATGTTTAATGAAGTCTGATGGGTTTGGTTCATTTAGCAAGATTTGACAATAATGTTATACTGAAACATATTTCAAGAATTGTCATATTTTATATGCAATATGTGAAAATTAAAATATTCAGTTTGAATATCTGTGGCATAATTTATATTACAATTGGTTTTACCTCTTTTAATTTTAGGAGAGAGAACAGAAGCAAAAACCTGCTGTTGAAAAAATGGATAGTAGTGTTTCTTCTTCACTTCCATATTACATTGACTCAAATTATCATAAATCTAATGTTATTGAAATGCGCACTGTTAGTATAGGTTCTGTTATTGACTCTGAAATCAATGGAATATATGCTCGTGATAAATCTGTTTCTAACAACAGTTATGATTATTTAAGCAATTTTTCATCTAGCTCAGAAAGAAGTAGTGCTATGGATAAAAACAAGTCTAAATCTGACTTTAAAATTGCTTTTTCTGCTCAAGATAGTTTTTCTGTACCCTCCAACTTGGAAAAACCTGCCAACTATCAAAGCTCAAATTTTGATTCTCCCAACAGTAAACTGCCTGCATTTATGCTCAATAATTATTCATTCCCTTACAAAAGTGATTCCAGTAACCATCAACAAGCATTTAAATTCTCAGAAGCCTCATTAAATAGGTCTTTAGCTGCGAAGGTTATACCAGACGTTCCAGAAAGTGGAATTCATTCTGTCAAAGAAGAAGATCCAGCTGTTGTAAGTACTCTTGATGCTAGGGAGGCTAGATTTCGACAAAGAAGAATGGCTGTGGATTTTACCGAAAGTGAAGAATCTGAAATAGATTCTGAAGAAGAAGATGCTCTGCGATTTAAAAGGTTGTTAACCATTTCCAAAGGACCACCTCCAAAAATAAATACAGATCCAAAAGTTAGTATATTTTTTTTATTATGGAAAGTTTATTTTGCTGTTATAATTGCCATTGATTGTAATGTATTCATATTTTGCCTTAATTGTGGATTTTTAATATCATATATATGCAGATAGTAAAATCAGAGGAAATTGGTATATTTAAAATATGATGTTAATGTCATTTCTCATCTTTTAAAGTCATAGTTCAAAATAAATGTGTTTACCTACAATTAAATTCCAGGCTATTAAATTCCACCATTAATATGATAAGATAATAAAACAACACTTATTTTATCATCAGTACAAAAGAAAGAGATAACAATTTTTAGGTATTATGAATGCATAAAACATGCAGCAAGCTGTATCATTTATAATGAAGCAGTGAATGCCCTCTTAAAAAAGATGAGAAACCCACCTGTATGTTTTGCAGTGGCACTCCACGTCAGCAGTTTTCCAGATTGTCCAGCAGCATATTTCCAAATCTTATGTAGTAATAGCACGCATTATAGCTGAGCATAGAGTGGAATAAACTCTGGATCAATTTGGATACTCCATGAGGCTTCATCTTTTTATCAATATTCATTTGGTATAACCTCTGGTAGTTAATATCCTGCCAGTCCCTGTGCAGTCATGGACAGATGTGCTCAGTTCATGAATGTATTATTGGTGAAGGCAAAAGCGCAGGATATCAAGGAAATGTTGGATGCTGTGTGTATTATCCAGTTATATGTTGTTCTGTGACAGAAGTTTCTATCAAGGCCCTGAGGATATCAGACAGCCACATGATCTCTTACATCTCTACAGTTTAATGCTGTTTGGTCAAAGTCCTGGTTATGCAGCTAAATATGAATGGGACTGCTAGCCAGTGGCATTCCATATTATAGCTTGGAGAACTGTTCCAGTATGATGATACATAGTATAAGACTCCAGAAGTTGGTCCACATGGATGACAATGTCAAGCAATTTATGAATTCGTATGAAGTGTTGTGTCATTTATTTGCAAACACTTATACTAGAGATAGAAAATCTGTGATTGCCATGCAAACAGTCTATGATGCTGTAAATAATATTATGGATACTTACTGCTGTGCTATATACCCCGAATTCCTGATCTAGGTTGTGTGGTGTGGCTGTATGATTTGTAAGAATAATACACAAGATACCTGTCCTCTTGGGCATTGTGATTCTGTATTATTGTACGAGGGCCATCCAGGAAGTAGATTACGTTTCCGTCTGTGTCCGCTAGGGGCGGGGCTAGCGCGGCCATCTTGGGGTCAGAGCGTTGCGCAGCTCAGTCTGCATCTAGCCGTGCTAGTGAGAGGTTCGTGCTGTGCTCCGTTCAGATACTGTGACGGTTTGAAATGTCTGTGTTAATTGAAAATCCCGCGAGCTGCGAGGTACGCTCAGTAATAAGGTTTCTGACTGCAAAAAACTGTAAACCGATAGAAATCTATCGGCGGCTTCGTGAAGTGTATGGGGACAACATTATCACTGAAGGTGGAGTGCGTCAGTGGGTCATAAGATTTCAAAATGGCCGAACCAATGTTCACGACGAAGATTGAAGTGGGAGACCCAGCATAGTGACTGCCGAACTTCTCGAAAAAGTCGATGCTAAAGTCCGTGAAAATCGAAATTTCACAATAACGGAACTTTCTTTGAGTTTTCCACAAATTTCGCGAAGTTTGTTGCACGAAATCATCAGCGAAAAGCTTGGTTACCACAAGTTTTGTGCAAGATGGAAGGCAAGAAGAGGTAACGAAGTGGTTGAAGGCGCAGGCGGCCGAATTTTTCGACGAAGGAATTTCCAAGCTCGTACATCGCTACAATAAATGCCTTAATTTGTATGGTGACTATGTAGAAAAGTAGTATTTGAGTGTGGCTTTCATCTGTATATAATAAAATTTGTTTCCTATACTTTGTTTATTTTTTTATTCCAAAACGTAATCTACTTTCTGGATAGCCCTCGTATTGTCATTTTTCATCTACTCCTCTTGGACTTACTGATTCTGTAGGTGCATGATAATGCTTGGATTTCCTCTAATGTCAAGTAGCTACGAGTTTATAAGGTAATCTACAGTTATGATACAGGGTAGTTCTTTTGAATCAGTGAAATTTAGACAGAATTGCTGGTTTGAATTCTGTGTTCATGCTAAGACATACTTGGAGACAAACAAATTTGAGCTGACAGACAAGCATAAAAAAGATTTTCATATGAAAATTTTATTGTCTATTTCCTTATTTTACTCCTTATTTTTACTGTTATTAAAATGTTAAAAGAAATCATTTATTATTATTATTATGGATCCCTTTTTTTGTACTTTCAATTTTGAGAATTAAGAATTTATCAGTGAAATGAAGGTCTTTATTTTTTTCTTTCTTTCTTTAACAATACTTGTTGCTGTATAAATGCATTTAAACTAGATATATTCTAATAGTTTTAGGTTAAATATGTAAACATTGATAAATAAATGAATAAACATTTATTGGAAAAGTATTGTGATTTTGAAAATTTATTTCTTCAGCATTCAAATTAACATTATACTAAAATGAAGTTGGTAATTTTCTAAAACTGCATTTATATGAGCTCAAAGGTGTGTAGAACACAATGCCTAGCAGCCAGCTCTCCTGGTTTTACCAGGAGACTTCCAGTTTTTCGTCACATGTCCCAGCAGATGGCTGCATCTTCCTATTTTTTATTTTTAGATTTTAAGTTATTTAAATTGTTTTCGAGCAACAAATGAAATTTGTTGAATAAAAGGAACTTAAATTGTGCAAATTCTATCCCTCCGCCCCTAATGATAACCAGAAATTTTTTTCTTATTAAATTTTATTTCATCAGAACTGTATTTTTTTCTTATTACATTTTATTGACCTTTTTCTTGTTAAATTTCATTTTATCTTAATTTTTTAATCTACTACAGAAATCTGTAAATTTTATATGAGGGTTCAACTACTGTTTAATCAGTTAATATTTGTATTTATTTTACTTCATTCTGTGGTATATTATTAAATTTATCCAGATAAATATTATGCATACTAATTATTAATTTAATTTTCATCATATTAAAAGCACTTTGATAAATAAAAGCTTTTCTTCCCTATTTGGAATTTTTTCAATATAAAAGAGTAATAAAATTACAAAGTAAAATTAGCCAAGGAGCATACTAATTGGAATATCTAATTGAATACTAATATTTTTTGCATAAGAATTGTATTAAAAATAGTTCTGTAACATGAATCATGTGTATCATAAAGTGAATTTAAGTCATTCTGGAGGTTTTTTTAAATGACATTGTCACATAACATGAAAATCTACCAGTTTTTCAGATTTTGAGTAATTTCAGATTTAAATGGGGTTTATAGCAGCTATGACAGTATCTCAAAATCATAACTGGACATGTCATTATTATTACTTTTTTAATTGTTGCCAACTCAGGTTTTTAATAAAGTCATAATTCTAAACCTACATATTAAAATAATGCATTGTACTTCTGTATTAATTCTATTTATTAAAAGTATCTTAAAGCTTGATTTTAAATATGAGCCCTTTTTTTTTTTTTTTTTTTTTTTTTTTTTTTGTGTGTGTGGTGTGTGTGTGTTCTTTATATTTCATTATGTATTTCACAAAAGTGACGATTTCACTGTTAGTTTCCTATTTATTTTCTCACAGAAAACAAAATTTCTGTCAAATTTTGGCCTTGTGACTCGATCAAAAAGGCAAAGTAAGTTGATCTGAGTATTCTTTATTTGTGTGTGTAATTGTTAATATATGTGTTTTTGTATATCTGTTTTATGGAGAATTTCATTCTGTTGATTATATACTGTACTAAGTGTATGATAATATTTCAGCAATTCCTTATACATTTTTTGTACTGATTGTAACTCTTACTATTTTTACCCTTTATTTTGATTAGCCTTTTTAAAAAAGTGAACATTGTATAGTTGTGAGCTGTTATTTTAATTAGCAATAAGTTTTCAAAGTTTCTTTATGTATCTATCATTTCATGTAAATTTTCATTGTTCTGTACTAAACTAAGAAAAATAATTTAACGCCACTGTGACAAAACTTTGGATCTTAGATTCTTATGTAAAATCAATAAGTTTGTAATATTATCACAAGAAAAGGGGGGGGATTCTACCATTATCCTATTAGCAGATTTATCTCATTTCTTTTTTCCTAAGCATTGTGAAGTCATTTTGTGCCTTTTTAGCACATAAGTAATTTTTAACGTTTGATGTAATTAATTAATACTTAATAATGAGAGAATAAGAAACATTTAAGTTAGCATGTTTAAACTGTTGAGGCTTTAATAATACGAGAATGAGAAAGGATTTATACATTTTATTCTTGTATTTTTGTTACTAATTCTTATCATTTGTTTAAAGAGTTTCATTTTGAAGCAAATTAACTATATTAAAATTATTTAATGACAAATACTCTTGCAATAAGACATTTTTTCTGAAAGGTTTTATTTTTTAAAAAATTATATGAAAAACTACAGCTTTTCAGAACATACGAGCACTTTAAAATAAAGTCTTAATGGATTTATTGCAAATTTATATTACATAAAAGAAAAGCATTGCTTAGTCCGTAAAATTAACTAGATATGCAAAGTATAATAAATAAGTATTTTTATGTAATTTAATAAGTTTGTTTTTTTAGAAATGTGTCACCTTATTTTTAAAAAGAATTCAGTGCTGTAAAGAATTTAGAGCACAATTTGGAGTTTAATAGCAATTCAAAATTTGTTATCTTTAATAATATTTTTTCAACTTTTATAACTGCCCCCTTGATATTTCTAATCAGTTTTTATTCTGTAAATACAAACTCTGTGTATTTTCTAAATAGTGCTAGAAATCAAGAAATGTATCAGACGTCATAAGATTCTGAGGGAGAAGAGTATAAGTCCTGTTGAAGAAACATCAATTGAAGAACTTCCTGTACAGTATGATGCTAAACATCTTTCTGAATTAGCAGAGCGACTATGTTATGAAGAAGATTTTCAACCAAAAAAAGATTTTCTTCGAGTGTTGGGTTTATCTTACCTTTCACCAGAACAGAAAGCAGGTATTACACCAGTTATTTTTTAACTTGGGTAAAAAAAGGGGGGATTATTATTATTTTTTTAAAGATGAGGATGACACCTTTTAATGTGTGTAGTTTTAGACAGATTTTATGTTATAATCTTAATTCTCAAAAGCTTTAATGATAAAACTGCATGTAGTATATTTTACATTGTGATAAAACTATTAAGTGTGTGTTAGGAATTTTGATTGTTAATAGTGTAAAATAGTAATATTGTGCATAAATTATGAATTAAAAAAAATGAGAGCCAGAGATTGGGATCTTCAAAAATTAACATAAATATTTAAGAGTTTTGTTATAATCATTTGGAAAGAATTTTGTAATTTGGCTATTTATGTGGAAATACTTCTCAGGACTAAGTGGAGTCTTGTAAGTTTGAATTGGAGATACTCAGAATTTTCTGTTAACTATAAAAATTGAAGTTCATTCTGTGAAATATTGATCTACTGTAAGTAATCTGCATTGGGAAATTAATGTTTTAAGCCAGAGTTTGTCAAATTTTGTTTCATGAGCTCGTTGTTTTAATATTTTTCCTTCATGACTCGATAAAACTATTTATGGCTTATTGGTAAAGGAAATTAATTTTAATGTTCAAATACTTTTACTTCTTTATCAAAATAACAAAAATGTAAAATTATTTAAAAAAAAAGAAACAGTTTTAATGGGACATGTAATGCTATTTCGGATTCAGGTCTACAAGAAAGGGATGATAACTTTATTCTCAAGTCTGGTTCAACATTTAAAATGTTTGTGTTTATTTTTTTAGGAAAACAAGTGTCAATAAATCTTTCACATTTGTAAGTTATAACAAAGAGCATCAGAAACTTAACCCTTTCGAAACAGCATACCTTTGTTCCATCAGGATGGCTGAAAGTCAAAAGGAATTGTCTCACAATAATGGAGGTTTGCGTCGCTAAGCCTAACTTTAGGGAAATAAAGAAAAAAAACTTTTTTGAGGTCCTAGTGTCATAATTTTGGGTATCATTTTTAGATTATTGCTTAAGCTATCATATGCATTAAAATTAGTATTTAATAATCTTTTTCCTTTACTTTACAGGGAAATATGAAAGAAGAATTGCTTACTCTGAGAAATAATTTTCAGAAGCTCTATTCAAATTATTCTGAAGTTTTAACTGACAAAATACATTAAGAAACTTTAAAACTTATGAAAAAATACAAGAAAGAATATTCACAAGAAGAAGTAACAGAATCTTTCATGGGAAGTGGTAGGCAGGCACTCAGTGAACTTACTCTGATAAAATCTTTGTATCAGAATCACTGAAATATTGCTCTAACTCTTTAGAAAATGAATCATCGCTCTCATCCATGTCAGTAATAGGCTCATTTAACCATACCAGTAAATCCTTCCTCTGATAAGTAATGCTTGATCGCTATAATAAACTGAAATCAAGTATTTCCAAAATAAAAAAGAAAGTATGTGAAATGTAAGCGATAAAAGTAACGCAAGGCATAACAGAACCTCTCATAGTAACCCTAAAAGACCCTCCATAGTAGTGAGAAAAAGAATTAAAAAGAGGAAACGTGAATGTTTGTATCGCCTGGTGAGTTAAAGATACAAGCTCTGTTTGTTTACATTACATTTCCCCTTCTCTCGTGCAACAGCTGACACCAAAGTTAGGCAGAATATAATCAAACTGAAGGTCAGAATATTAAAACTGTGTTCAATTTATAAGTAGTAATGAACACAGGATGTGATCTAGTGGTGTTTAAGAAATAGTTCAGCTTAAAATGTATATGTGCATCACCCATCCCTTCAGCACAGTCTCCAGTCGTGCATGAGTGGGATGTCTGGCTGTGAGAGAAATCCGTAAGGAATGCGTATATAGGACACCCGTCTGGAAAAGGTTAATTACCTTTTGTGCCAAAGATTGATACTTTTGATGAAAGGATAACCAAAAGCCTATCAATGTTATTTTGTCGAAGCTGTCTTTCAGCGCTATATTCCAAGGCAATTCAATTATGTAATTAGTATCTGAATCCAGTAATTTCATCTGTCTTTCTGTATTGTGCTTATCCTTGCTTTGTTGCTACGAATTGAAGGCAATCATATTAGCTGCCCCTTGATAGCAACTGAAATTCATCAGGCATGGAACTAATATTGTATTCTTTTTGCACTTCATTTAATTTCCTGTTTCAACACGAAGGGTCTTCAAAATGAGTTTTTTCTTTACAGCTTCCATCCCCCCCCATTTGAAATGCAGTTACATTGTTGCATTGCAACCAAAAATTTAATTCAAAAACTCAAAAATGTCACAATGGTAAGATAACTTCATCAAGCAATTAATACCACTAAAACTATCTTTAAATTCAAAACCAATGCACTTCACAGTGTAAAAGAAAATGTTTGTGTTTACGGCCTGTTTCTTTATGTAATGCTCTGAATAGCATGGAATTCAGAAAATATTATATAAAGTTCAAAATTTTGTACATTCTTGCCTAGCAGTTTCCCAAAAGCATCGGGAGTTTTTTATAGCCAAGGTATGCTGCAGTGGAACCATACACAATTAGATGCCTTTATTTTTGGAAGAAAAACGTACATAGATGCCTGCCAATACTCGAGCCCTCTCGTTGCTCAGTCCCATGCATTTTTTCCATTGTTATTTCAATTGATGTAAGAATCTATCAAGTTAAAAATTTCTTCTTCTGTTGTTCATGGATTCATTGGCTTGCAAAATAGAAATTCTTCATCAGATGTATTTTCAAAATCATATCCAGGGGTGATCATGGTTTGGGTATTGCCGGAATTCCAAACGTTTTACTTTCTTAAATCTGGAACTTCCAGATTTGTGATTGTCCAATAGAGTTTCAATAGAAGTCATTACTATTTCAGGACTAATGTAATCATTAGTATTTTCTTCACTTTTATGTTCAGTACGACTCTCTGCCTTTTCTGTTCTTGTGACATTTGAAATGATACCCAAATCATTCAAGCATCGAAAGCATGACTCAGCTAAATTGCCATCGAACCATTCTCAGTGTTTTCCCAGTTAAGAATTTTAAAGAATTAAATTTTCAGTTTTTCGGAATACAGTTTCAGTTATTGCCTTGACTTCTTCATAACTAGGTAAATCTCCAAATTCTATACTAGAAAGAATCCTTCTCCATGATCAAATCAGCGTCATTGATTTTACTGTCAACCAAGCGCAGACTTGATGCTTCTTTGTTTTTTACATGCTCTTGCGTATAGCATGAAGTGTGCATATGTGGGAACAGCCACACATAATCATCGAGGGGGCACTGTACATGTATAAAATTATTTAGATTAATAAATACATAGGTATTAAAATCACTCAGAAAACTTGTCCTGAGTTGTAAAATGTCTCAAGAATTATTTTCTGTGTTGTAATGTATGTGGATAACTTTATATAAATAAAAATAATTATTGCATTTTAAGGAAATCTGCAGTTTTTTGGGATAGCTTTGAAACTCCTTTATGTAAATATTATTTCTGCTGTTTCAGAAAATGAGAGGATTAGAAAACTTATTGAAGATGAAAAGATGCGAAGAAATGGCTTCTTCAAACAGAATGAATTCACTTCCTATTTAGAAAAAAACAGCCAGAAGAAGAAAGGTATTTTCTTTTGTTGGAACTTTGGAAATCATTGGTAGTTTATATTTTTGCTAAACTGCATACTTTCATTTTATCATAGTTTCAAAAACTGATTTTATAGGATCAGAAGCAAAGTTCTCATTAGGTCCTAATTACATTAAAAAAAAAATCTTGCTATAGCTGCTCTTGTGTAAAATTAAATGGCTTATTCTGCCTTCCATTTCATTAATGTGGCAAGAAAACAAATAATTGCACCTTATCTGAGTTTGTCTTTTTTAAAATGACTTTTGAATTGGATCATAACATGTATTACATTGTCAGCAGATCCCAGTGTGCTTCTTTGTTGTTTCAAATGCATGCTATGCCTGCTGTGTTTGCTCACCAAATGTTCTCGTAGCACAGTATCATTTATAGAGTATGTCCTGTCAGCATCTTGCTGTACATTTCTGATTCTATAAGCTGTGATTTATTCAGTTAACATTAATATCATCTTAATGGAAAATATAGTGTGGTGTATTATTCTTGTTGTTATAGTTATTTTCAAATATGCATATTTTTTACCAATTTGATAATACTGAAACTTGTATAAACTATATACCATTTTAAAATTATTCAGTTTAACAAAATACCCAAATATTCCATTATCGGTTTACTTCATTAATTATCTCATGTAAACTGGCATTTAAATTTTCCTCTCCATTGGAGATAATTAAAAATGAAAGAAAATATTTCTCTAGATTTCTAAAATGCTTAGAGAAGTTTAAAATGTGGGATGACCAACCATACGTTAATTCCCTTTCCACTTCTAATGAAAATGAAGATTGCTTTTGATGGTACATTTTAAATTCTGTATGAAACTCAAAAATTAACAATGGTTCAATTAACAATTGAAACCTGAAGAGCTTCAATGAAGTAAGGAGCCAACAAAAGGGTTTTTTTAAGTGGCACTTTTATTCCTGTAAAAGTGGAATGTCACTGTAGAAGAATGAGATACCAAGGCAAAATATCTATGAGCATAATATTGCAAAATGTTAAAAGAAATTCTTCACCTTTGTACATCAAGATCATCATTAAAGAAATTACTTACACCAACAATGTGTCGTATGAACCAGTGCAAGTAATTCTAACTTGAGCTTACACATATATTGCATTATTTTTAAGTTCATGCTAAAGAGCAGAAAGAGAGCATATCAAAATATACCAAGATCTCCATCAGCAAGCTTTGGATGGTCAAACCTTCTTGTCATAAATCAGAGTTGCTGATCAGAATTATATTTAAGGCTGTAATCCAAAGAACAAGCGACTGCAGTGGGAACTAACAAAAACAGAAGCCAGGAGGACGATTAAAAATATTTTCATTGCTTTTTTTCCCTAAATTCAGTATTTTGACCAGTGTGAATTCATTCAATAGGCTTATAATATTAAGGTAGATTTTCTTGTCATATTCCAAGGCATTTAAGAGAGCATTTAAGTAAGGACAGCCATAACTGTGTTGAGAAGGCCATTGGGTGTTCATTATGGTAATACAATTGCACTATATTTAAAATATATGAGATTTTAATTCCCACTAGTGCATTTGCTTCTAACTCATCTTACATGCCATATTTGGCTGAAATCTATGCTAAAGGCTTGGTGCTCTAATATTGCAGAAGAGACTTATTGTACTTACTTGGCTTGTATTGCAAATTATACTCAGAGAACAGAGCTTCCTGAAGGCATTTGAACAAGTGATGTATTGTAGTATATACAGATTGCTTTGAAGAATTTGTCAGCTAACCATAAATTAGCCCCTCTTCCTGCTTTTAAAGTACATTTAGTTTCAAAACTTTTTATTTGTAACATGCATAAGTGAACTAGATGTGGAAAAGAAGTGTGAATACTCTTTTAAATGAACTTCCAATAAGATATACATAGTGTAATATCTTAATTTTTCTTTCAGTTATATAATAAGACAAAAGCAGTGAAATGTATACAAATCCCTTTTATGCTAGACGCATTGATTCTTTACTTGACTCATACTTTTTATTCTTGAATTTCATAATAAAAAAATCTTTATCCAGACTTAGAAATAAAACTATTGCTGACAAGCAGTCCATTCAGAATTTTAACATTCTATCGCTCATACACTAACAAGCAGTCCATTCAGAATTTTATTTAAGTTTAACCAAATGCAAATTTAGAAACAACTTTCTCTTAATTTTATCAAATAAAATTTTGGAAAAATTGAACCTGAAGGAAAAAAATTCTCTTCATGTAGAAAGCTTATGTCTTCATCAGACTTTTTGCATTCCTGCTTGATTATATTCTAATTTAATAATACATTTACTTAATTTCATGTTTTCCAATGTGCATTCTATTCTTTAAAATAAATTAAAAAAAAAAAAAAACCCTTTTACTATTGTGACTATGCTTTTTAATTGTTGATACTATTGTGACTATGCTGTTTATTTTTGTGGTATTCATTAAATGTGTGAAAAACATTTCATATCAGTTTGAATAAGAAATATTTATGGACAACTTTGCATACATTGTTCTTTTCTTATTTAGATTTTGCAGTTTTATTTAACTTTATCTGTTTGTTACCACAAAGACTAATCAAAATCTCTTAAGTGTTTTTTTTTTTTTTTTTTTCTTTTTCTTTCTTTCTATCCCCCCTTTTTTTTTCGAATTTTATCAGTTAGTTTAAAATTTCAATACTGTTATTATTACACCTTTATAAAACTTTGCAAGTATTTTCATTTGTTGCTTTAAATAAGATATCTTCTAAAACACTCATGTGTAGGATGCTGTAATCTTGTTCTAACAGTGAGATTTTTCATGCCTAAAAGTGATACTAATAGCGCAATGAAGTTGCTAATTCTATTTTTATTCTAAGCACTTATACTGCCCCTAAAAAATTCTCTTCATGTAGAAAGCTTATGTCTTCATCAGACTTTTTGCATTTCTGCTTGATTATATTCTAATTTAATAATACATTTACTTAATTTCATGTTTTCCAATGTGCATTCTATTCTTTAAAATAAAATTTAAAAGAAAAACCCTTTTACTATTGTGACTATGCTTTTTGATTGAAACAATCTGAGAAATCTCTGTTTATTTTTGCGGTATTCATTAAATGTGTGAAAAACTTTTCATATCAGTTTGAATAAGAAATATTTATGGACAACTTTGCATACATTGTTTTTTTCTTATTTAGATTTCGCAGTTTTATTTAACTTTATCTGTTTGTGGTATCAGCAGACTAATCAAAATCTCTTAAGTGTTTTTTTTTTCCCCTTTCTTTCTTTCCATCCCCCCCTTTTTTTCGAATTTTATCAGTTAGTTTAAAATTTCAATACTGTTATTATTACACCTTTATAAAACTTTGCGCAAGTATTTTCATTTGTTGCTTTAAATAAGATATCTTCTAAATCACCCATGTGTAGGATGCTGTAATCTTGTTCTAACAGTGAGATTTTTCATGCCTAAAAGTGATACTAATAGCACAATGAAGTTGCTAATTCTATTTTTATTCTAAGCACTTATACTGCCCCTACCAAGCTACTGAAAAGATTAAAAAAATAAATAAAGTAAAGTAAAATTCTTGAAATTCACAAAAGAACTTAATGCATACTGTTATTTGAAAATGTCTTCTAATTTTATATTTCCTCCAAAGGTCACTTAAAGAAAAGCAAGGTCAGTAGTTTTAAATCCCCCCCCAAGAAAGTTCAGGAGTTAAATAAATATCTGTTGAATTACATCCTTTAAAAGTATCTATCTCATTTTCATTCATGCTTCAGATTATAAAAACCAGATTTGGCGATATAGCTAGGATAAATTGTTATATGGAATGCTGAAAAGTTCAAAAATAAGGATTAGCCAGTTTAAAATTAAATAGACACTACAATGTAAACCTCAAAATACAAATGCTAAATTCATCTGTAAGTAATGAATATAGTAACTCTAACATTTGGACTTTACTTGCAGCTTAAACATGACATCATACAATGTGTATACACTATGGAAGAGGAAAGGGAGGAGTTCGCTTTGCTTGTTTGCAGTTTTTGGTCGTCTGATGCAATAACTTATCTGTGTGCGCTATCCTCATACAGTGGTGTATGGGCAGAAAGAAACAGGATGTGGCACAGCTTGTTTTGTTTTGAATTTTTGAAATGAAAATTGATAATTACAGAGTAAATGCATTTAATGAATATGTTACTATATGAATGAGTTAAAAAACAATAATTTTATTTTCTCAATTGTAAATTTATAGGAATGTGGCATGTGCATCGCATGCACTGAGACAGTGCCCCTGTAATAGTTTCAATACATGCAGAGTGAAGGCTGTGTTTTATTTTGATCATGTATATAAATGTAATGAATCTGTACATATATTTTGAAGGCAATGTTTTATTTATGTTGCAAAATTTTAAGATATTGTCTTCATTATAGATTAAAATATTTTATTATGTATTAAAAACCTAGGAATTTTTTTAAGTTTTTATTTATTTATTTTTAAGGTTTCAGTACTGTAGACAGTCTGAAGCACCCAAAGAAAACAAATTGTGTCCAGTTAGAGGATTCAAAACCTGATGAAATAGTGTTGGACAAAGCATATGTAAAAAAGTCAACATCTTACATGAATATGTACAAATCTTCTGAGACGCCACTTCCAAGGCTTTCAGCATTTTTGAAGCCTCCGACAAGAACAGGTTAGTTAGTAAATACAATATCCTGTATTAAATTAAAATCTGAAGATGTTTCTTTTGAAATATTGCTATTTTTAATAATGACGGATTCTAAGTAACCAATGTAAATTATCATTATTGTGCACATTTACTTAACTGTTTATTAAAAGTAATAAAAAAAATCTGCCATCTTTTGTAATGAAATAATTTATTTTTGATGATCACTCAAATTTGGTCATTTTCTCTTGACAGTTGTAGGTATTGTATATTGTCATGCACTTAAATTGTTAAGTTCTTTTGCTCTGGTATTATATTACTACATATAGTTCGTGCAGTTCAAAGATTTTGAGATTCTGGTGTACATTTTATGTATATTTAAATGGTACAGTGTTTTTTATGCATAAATAAAATTGAGTATATATATAAGATTTTTTTTTAATTCTTCTAAAAACTGTTAATAGAAGACTAATCTAGAATAAATTAGGGTTAAAGATAAATAACTTGCATATGAAATAGCAGCATGCAATTTTTAATTAATTGCTAAAAAATGAGAATTTTTAATTCCTTTTGTCCTGAAGGTTTGATTCATAATGATGTGTGTAAGACTTGGTCCTCATTCATTATTTTAATAGAAAGAATTATTTCAATCTTAAAAACAAAATAGTAGAATATAGGTTTCCACCAGGATTTATTATAAACTTATTATGTTTATTACCTTATGCAAAAAGAAGTCATGAATTAGGTTTTTAAAATAAGATTAGGTGGACATTATGGGCTTATATTTGATGTTTCTTCATAACATAAAAGAATGTAAAATTCTGTTAAACTATTTTAAGTGGTGTACTTACGTAAATTCATGTATCCATCATGATGTTCAAGTTTAGAAGCAAATAAGATAGTATTATCAAACAAGATGAATATACTATTGTTGCTTTATTGAAATCAATCAAATATTGCCCTGTATTTGCTACTTAATGTTAAATGTTTTCACTAATAATTGAAAACCATTTTGTGGGTTATTTTAATTTGAATTGTTTTTCTCCAGTAAATGTACCAGTGCCACCACTTATCCCAACTTATCAAGCAGTTCCTCCTCAACCTGAGCCATTTAAGGAAACAAATGCCTCCATTGTAGCACCAAAGGATCCCCGTGTATGGCAGGTTGACAAAGACTTTGTCCAAGAATTCCATAAGTCTGTTTTGCAAACAACTCAAATGCAGTTAGGTAATGAACTTTTAAGTTTTTAATTTTGGGAATAAATAGTGTGTGTGAAATTTTGATAAATTTAAATTTATGCAGAACTTTTATGAAACTGAAATAAAATGTTTAAGAAAAGCTGTCCTTAAACCTTATTAATAAATAATTATTGTTTAATGCATGTACTTGAATCAAACTGGAGTAAGTAAACGAAGCATTACAGTTTAATAAGATTTTATAAAGTTTGTATAAAGATTGTTGATTCATATATTTATAAGCATGTAATGTATTATTTATTAACTAGATATTTTCAAGACCCATGCATACACAAAATTTAGTTTTTAAAAACTAAATGAGATACAGTAACTCAATTTAAGCAAATATGTTTAATAATGTGTTTTCATTTTGCATGAAGCAAGCACATGTTATTTTCTATTCAGAATATTTTTAATGATGCATTTTTTAAGTAATAAATATGTAGTGTTTTCATGTTTATTTTTCATTTTGGGTTGGTTAGTTAAATGTTATGCTAATATTTTCTTATGCAGCAGAAAAGAATCAGCCTAATGCAGCTCCTCGGGATCTACCATTCCATAATAAAATATCTGCCCCCAGTCATGTAGGAAGTGAGGAGTCAGAAAGTTCAGTTGAAGAAAATAAACTCCCATTTCGTTGGCCTGGTGTTGAGGCCATTATGGAGTCATATGAGTGCCATATATATGGTAATTATTAAATTTTTTATGAGTTTACAGTTTTTTAAGATTTATGAAGCTTTTATGTTAGAATATTGTAAAATTTAAATTTTTTAGTTTCAAAAATAGTTATGTGTATTATTTGTATAAGCATTTGTAGTTTAATTATGTTTTATGTATTTTTGTATTTAATTGTAGATTAGATTATATTTTGTTAAATACTATCAAGCCAGAAAGTTAAAAGTAATTATTTATTTTTGAGAATATATGAAACAAAATATTATTAATAATTATAAATCAATCTCTCACACTCCCTATATCATTTACAAAAACTCTCTTAGATGAAAAGGTCCTTTAAGTTCACTCATGCAGTTCTTTTACAGTAAAATAATTATGAAACAAGAAACTTAAATGCTGACTTAGCTTTTTAAAAAGGGGGAAGGCAGCTGCTATCATAAAGTCCTCCATGAAGGTATTTTTCGAAGCAAATAACCTTTATATGTTTCAGCATAATAAATCATTTAACTCAAATGCCTCCCCCCTTCCTTAACCCTCTATCGGGCACAATATTTGCACTCCTGAGTTTGAGTGTTGGTAAAAAAATTTTAATTAATATTATTAATAATCAGTAATTATTGAAAACATAGTCACTTACCTTTGTGGGCATGTTTAAAAGATTAAAAACAGTTTTAACTTTGTAGTGCAGGGCTCATAAGATGAGATTTATTCAATGTCAACCAGCTCAAGTTGATCAGAAGTGGGACATTGGCATATAGCACAGCACATTCCGCACACCATGTTTACATGACTGAGGCAGATTGCATTTGGATGTTTTTTACTTTCGTATTTTTTCATTCTTCTGAAACCTGTTCTGGGGTGCAAGTTGAACACCTACATCTTTTGAGGTGTGGGGGGGTGATCATTTTCAATGGGGCGAAACCTTTTCAGCCAAATTTGGAAGGTGGTGAGGATTCCAACTGTCTTCACACTTTGGCATAATTCTCTAAGCATCAGTTAATGGACCAGTGTTTTCAGGAAACCTCTTCTACACAATGGTTCCAGTTGATTGCTGAATAAATCACTTGAGAATTGATACCACTCACATTTAACATTGTGAAAAATATTACCATTGGCCAGCGCTTGACATTTTGGTTTACGCTGTAAGCAGTACATACATGATCTGCATTATCCACACCACCCTTGGTGGAATTGTAGAATGTGATTATCTCTGGCTTTTCTTGTTCTCTTGATCCACAATCAATAGTGCTGTCTTCATGAAGCGGAGACACGAGAACCACCTTCATGTATAATTTCAGAACATAGGAAACCAAAGTCTTCCCATCACTAAAACCAAACATGCTGGTGTATTGTTTCCTTCCTTTAACTGCAACAAATTGCAAGAGCAACTGCCTTTTATTTATTTTTTTACCAGCAGTAATATTACGACTAGATCCAATTATGGGCTTAACCATTCTTCTCACCACTTCACTTGGCTTATTGCAGATACAGAAAGGACCTTCAGGCTGTTTTACCAGCATAAATCTCCAGATTCAGTATATAACACGTCTTTGAATATACAAGGAGAAGATATTTTATGCCATACTTATTCAGTTTCGACGGTTTGTATTACCAAAGTGGACATTTTCCTCGGAAAGCATTTCTTCGATTGTAAAATTGTCTCTGATGCTATAGCTCTTCTGACAATTTTCTGCAGATTTTTCGAAAACGTCATGAATTGGCACAAAATGATTGAATTCTTTTCATGTTGTTCTGATAGTAAAGTCATCAAAATGAAGGCAGTGTATTAGTATCTTGAACCATTTGATATTTCATCACTAGGCCAGATTTTTCAACACCTTCACAGTTCTCCAAAGTTCCTCCAAGCTTTGACAATTCCCTCTGAGGGGTCCTGCTAGATACAGCAATAGAGGTCCTTAATTCAGTAACTTCAATGGGTGCGATATCTGTCTCTCCGGAAAATTTATCTGGGTGGATTTCACGTATTGGTTTGTGCCGCTAATGATCATGTCCAAGATGTCATTAAAGAATAAATTATTCTAACAATCATCTGCAGTTTGAGCATTCTCAGTATTTCCTATTCTTCCCAGAGGATAAATTATAACATTTTGAGCTCACCAACAAACTTTTTTCAAGGGCAGAATTTTAGCACATTCTGTAATTTTGTCTTTTCCCAAAAATAAATGGCTCCTGGAATGGTCCTCATTCATCTGCAGCCTCTTCATCTTGGTCAGTTTCTGAATTGCTTTCACTTCCTCTTGAAAATCAATATCACTCTCTTCTCCCCAAATCTTCATTTCTTCATCTTCTTCATCTTCATTTTCCAACAAATGCCTTACGTGGTCAAGATCATTTGGATTAGACAAATCGAAGAATTTCCAGGCCATTTTAGCAAAAAACCTAAAGTATGTGAGAGAAAATGCTAAGATAAGTACATATTCATATAATGCACCTGAAATGAGGAAAATAGACACTCACGAGAAAAAAAAAAAATTAAATATTACAAACCTTCAAACATATGATGAATTCAGCCACTATGCCTGTGAGGCCAATATGGTGTTAACTATTCTGCATGATGCAGGAAAGTCAACTGAATAGATAGCACCAAACATCCACTAAAGAAAGAAGACTTCTAGGGTGAGATAGGCTCATTCTGATCGTAAGGGGGAACAATGAACGAAAACCTTCGAGCTGTGCCTGCTTGACAATGTAGGAAAAGAGTTTATTGTCTAATTTAAGTCTTTAATTTGGATTAGGGCAAAAAAATAAAATTCCAATTCTGAAGTAAAATTAAAAATAAGTGATTAATAAAGATAATCATTGCAAACATTTTTAAACAGATTAGTAATTGTATAATGTTTTCTTCATTTTATTAATAGTTATATTTCCCTAAATTATATGCATTTAAAATTTAAAGAATCTATTTGCTTTCTCTTCATTAATGACCATTAATGAATTTCTTCTATTTTACTATTTTTGGCAGTTTAAGGTTAACATAATAACTTCATTAAAGTAAAACTTCTTGTGAAATTTAAAGTAAATAAATAAATAATTTGTACTGACAGTGTTGATGATAACAATTCCAGGACAAGAAAAACATTAAAGTAGAAATAAATAAAGTCAGCTTGAAATTGGATAAATACATAACAAATTTCATGGTATTATATTTCAGTATTTTATATTTTTATTTTTTAAATTGCAGAGCAAACTGTAGAAAAGAAATTTCTGACTGACAGCTGCCAAAAACTGAAAGCTTTGGTTCAAGAATCAAATGTCCATATTGAGTGCCTTGGAAGGAAAACTGAGGTAATATCACAACAGCTCTAAATCTTCCTTCTCTGAATTGTGTAGCATTTGATGCATTAAGGTTTTATTTTATCTTAATTTGGGGAAACTAGAAACTATTGTTCTTTTTACTTCCTTGTACGAAGTAAAGTGTTGTAATCAGGAAAAATTTTGGTTATCAAATTTCACTGGAAATACTCATTTTGACTATTTTTTTGCATGACATCTGTACATACGGACAGAAAACAGAAATCTTTATTTCAAAATAGATTGTAAAATGGGTTCAAAATGTTTTTTTTTTGGGGGGGGTGAAGGGGTGATGTCTGTACAGACATATGTATATCTCTCACATAAATCAAAAACAAGGTTAGTCATAGAACCTTGAAATTTTATTTATGGGACTGCTATAATATCTAGTTGTACACCTCCCTTTTTTATTACAGTTACAAGTACCAAACATAATATACATAAATATAACCTCTCCCTTTACATGGGTAAATGTCCTTAACTGCCCTTTATTTTTGCATTTGTTGGTTGTAGTCATGTACTTCCAGTTACAAAAGTGTTTTAAATGCTGAAAATATTTGTTTCGCCAATGTCCAATATTAAAAAAAAAAATTAATTTTGAATAAATAACGAATTCTAACTTTTAATGTGGTCTCCTATTTCCTGTACTTACATTTGGAAAATTTTATATGAGTTATGAAAAAGTAAAAATACAAGAAGTTACCTCATATGCTTTTGTTTCACTATTTTGCCAATTCCAAGAACATTTTTTTTTAAATCAAAGAAAATTGCAAAAAGAATTCTTGTGTATATGAAATTCCATACATAAGCTGATTTTTATCATCCCTTAAAAAATTCTCTTTAGTTTTTCTATTCACAAAATTTTTAATTTTTACTGTATAGTAAAATATTTTTTTTCCTGCTTCAGATTTTAGAAAAGCATACTAGAAGAATTTGAGGGAAAAAAGGGAGAGATTAGAAAATTTTCAGTATTTGAAGATAGCTGTATAATGAGAATTAGTTTCATTCAGAATTTGTATTGTTTTTCAGTTATTATGGATTGGATTTGAAACTTAATCTTTTTCTTGGCAAAAATTAGGATGTATATAAAAAGAAGCGGAACAGTTTGTTTTCCAACTTTTTTTAAACTAATGATAAAATTAATTAAAATAATAAAATTAGGGTACTTTCTGATTATCTGCACTCCCAACAGAAAACTGGAAAAAAGTACAGTCAAAAGTCATTAATCCGGACTCGTCGGGACTTCGATTCCAGATTATGGATTTTTCCGGATTATAGATCATCATTTTAAACCTGGTAAGATGGCATGCAGAAATTATAAAATTAAAAATATGAAACCGTAATTTATGAAATAAAGAACAATTATGATCTAAAGGGTATCAAAATTTACAAAAAAAAAAAAAAGCTTAATATTTATTTGTTTACTTTATTAAACATTTCTTTCAATGTAAGTTGTTTAAGTTGCTTCGTTTTATGTGATAATACTTTCTCTTTAATTCCGTAAACAGACATAATTTCTTGTTCAAAGTTCCGCTGTTCAAGTTCTATAATTGCTGTGTCGAGAATACCGAATAATTTGTCAATCGAAATTTTTTCGTTTTCAATAACCTCTGTTTCACTTTCTTCACTATCGGAAGCAAATAATATTGACGAGGAATTTGATTTAAATCATATCAAAGACGGAGTACATTGAGATGAAATACTACATTTAGTAAGGAATTATAAGCCAAATAAAATAAAAACATCTGCCCTGAAGATAAGGATAGTGCTGACAGATCAACTTCCAATTCATTGCGCGTCGCGGTGTTTCCCCCACCTGCCACCGCAGAGCAGCGTGAAATTGATAAACAGATTTCGGAAGGGTTAGAGAAACGAAGGATATGCCTTTATCCATTTTTTGCAGCAATTCCACTTTTTGTTTAATGGACTTCAAAACATACTTTTGCTTTGTAGATCCTTTACATATTAGTAAATATATATCGAAAATTCTATTTGACATAATCGAAAGTTCAAACGCGCATGCGTAAACATATTATGCGCATGCGCACATGCATATTCGCAGTCATAAAGGTCTGACGCATTGCATGCGCAGAAAGTTTATGGCTTTAAGGTCCGGATTATGGGTGTCCGAATTAACGAATTTTGACTGTATTGAATGAGAAATACACCATGTCACCAAAAGGTATTTCATGTGATATCCCATAATGTTGCCAAAGTATTAATCTGCCAACCCATATATGTGGATAGCATCCCATCAGACAACTTTCCACTTCTGATATTTTCACCACTGTGATTGCAGATTATAGCCTTCCTGTAGAAATTTCGTAACTCATCTAATCTCAGCTAAAACACCAACTTAAATGCTTACGGGAACAAGTATGGGAAGAAGAATGGAAAAATAGCAATAAGGGGAGAAGACTCTTCCAACTCAAACCTCATATCAATACGGACAGACTCAAATCATCTAATTAATTGTTTTATGACAGGACATGGCCCCTTTCCCAAGTATTTTTATGAACAAAACATAGTTCTTCTGAGCAATGTATATGTGGCGAAAGGGGCGACCCCAACCATTACATCTTCAAATGTCCATTAACAAAAAATTATCACTTGATACTTCCTGAGACTAACATATATCAGTGCTTGCAAATAGCTTTAAAAATAAAACAACTAAGAAAAAAATTAGAACTCTCAGTTATATTTCTCGCTAGTAGAGGAGAAAAAATTGTGCAATACAGGATAAGCAAAAAATAACACACTGGAACTTTCAAAAAATTTAAATTAGAATTGACAAAACTACCTACTTGACAAAATATTGAAGGACAAAACTGACAAAAGTACAGACTAGAATTAACAAAAAGACTAGAGGAACATCCAACACCTCTATGCATCAAATAAAATTTTTAAAAAAGTAAAAAAATATTCAAAAAAAATTCATATACAAAGTAATTTTTGCCTGACTTAGTATATACTTAGATATACAGGCAAAAAAGTGCTCTTTGCATTTATGTATATAATAATGCTATATATATGTTCCTAAATGTGTTGTTATATGTATGTCCCAATATGATATATATTTATGTATTTGCCTTTATGTTCTGTACTTATCATTATGTTCCATATTTACCGTTATGTATTCGAGTATTAAAGGCACCATATGTCACAACTATATTGTAATCATATGAAAAAATGTAAATATGTCAAAATTCTTTCAAAAAAATTATAATGTTGAAATAAAAAGATAGTGTAGTTGGATAATACCCACATTACCTATGGTTAAACATTGGGTGTCCGCTGTACTACAACCTGAACCTGTAGAAATTTCTTAACATTTTAGCATAACATTGGATCATAAACTTCAGTTTTTCTCTTTTTTCCTTTAGTGAAATCTGGGACTTAAATGTTCATGCTCAAAGCGTAATGTGGCATTGTGCACCTCTTTCTTCCTTCTCATTTTAAAATTCTGGTGATTAGGTTCTGCCATTTTCTGATTTTTTTTAAAGAGAAAATAGATAGCTGTACGCATAGGAAAAACAACAGCACAAGAAGTCGAGAAGTGTGCATGTCTTGTGTAGAAAAGAAGATTGTAAAAAAAAATAATAATAATAATGGGCAGCTATGGTTGCATAATTGAAATGGACAAACATTTCTTTCCATAGTCATCAATGAGCTCGCAAATGCTCTTCAAAATCAACCATAAGTTTGCTGTGTTTTGATAGGGGTACAGATAATCAGAAAGTATCAAATTTAATTTATCCTATAAAAGCCCTATTTTATTTGTTAGCATGTCAGAGCAGAGAAGTTAAAAATTTTTTTTTAAGTTTCTTTAGTACACATTGGTTATTAAACCTTTCCGGGCAGGTGCCCCAAGTGTACATTCCATACAAAGTTCTTTCACAGCCGAGCATCCCATCTATGCATCAGAATGAACTTAGGAGTCAGGTGATGTTAGTTTTCCTTGAAGATGACATATAAATACATTTTCTAATAATAAATTATTGATTTATTACCTTAGCAACTTTAGTGCAAATTTTTGGCTTTTTAAATTACTCAGGTAGTTATTTTAAGCTTATAAAATATATATTATCAGCTTAAAATTACCCTTCAAATACTTTGGAAAGAAAATCTTTATAAATCTCTTAAAAGATTACTAGGAATAATTGCTTATAATAATACTGTTCATACAAAAAAAAATTGAGTTTTAAAATTCGCTTGTAAAACAAGTTCCTCAATTTTTTACAAAAACATTTACGCCATATTTATTTATAGCAATGAAATTAGCTGCGGAAGATACTTGATGTTTTTATTTAATAATTTTGCTTAAAGTGAAGCAGTTGATTATAGAAATTAATCATTGAATAATATAACTTTAAATAGGCTATAAATAACTGATTCGAGTAAAAAATAACTGCAACTTTTATGATAAGCTAATAACTGTTTCTTTTTTATTAACAGTGCTAATAATATAATGATAGTTTTCATTGTTGAAACTGAAATTTGATTTCATAGAAAGAAATCAGGTACTACAAGTATTTGTTCAATTGTAATAATTTTAATTTTATGAAATTAAATAAAATGCAAGGAAAATAGAATACACTTGTAAGTGAAATATCTGAAATGCAAGGAATCCTTGTCTAATATTTATCAAAATGTAGGTCTGACCATTGTCATGATAGAAGACTATATCTCAACAGTAGGTTAGTTAAGTACTTAGCTTCAATTTCGGGTTCTTCAATTTAAAGCTGCCATTTGGGAGCAGTTTGTTTTCAAATTTACTATCTTATTTGGGAGAAACAATTCATAGCATTTAATACCTTTGTGATCCCACCATACACAAAGCATGCAGTGCCCCCTTGTTAATGTTACACAAAAAGATTCCTTTGACTTACTCTCTTTATGTGCCAAACAAAAATGGAGCTTTTCTTTTCTTTCTAGCAAAGAATTAACATGCAAAAACTCAAACAAGCATATTATGCTCTGTTAAAGTATGGGATACCTATGTATTGTACCATTTTAAGTATCTTCTTCAAATGATCATGTATTGTACTTTTTGGAATGCCGCCCAACTGGTATATAGTACTTAGCATCACTGGCTGCAGTGCCAAAGGACCTGGTTTCAAATCCCAGAGAAGGCATGGAGATGTTTATAAACGTATAGAGTCCATACGGGATGGAGGCACTCTTAATATTAGGCGAGTTGAAAGGCCTCTCGAGAAGTGTGTAATAGGGTAAGAGTGGTGGGAGACTCTTGGACTTGTCCACCAGGGGTGCTCTCCATCAAAATTGGGAGTGGAACTGAGCTAAGTGGCAGTGTCACCTGTAAGGTGCTCAAGGCTATTGCCAACGATGAGCATAATCTTGCGCTCCTTGCCACGAGGAATTTCATGGCTGTAGATCAAACAAGTGAGCATTAGTCAACAGCAACAAGTTTTTGGAATATTTAATGTGCCTCGTAGTTTCTGAACTATGAAACATGGATTTTCAGCAATAGCATCTTAAAAGTTCCTTGCTTATTGGGAATCTTTGTCCAGAATAGGTGTAATCTTTGAAGCTGAAATTACAATGCTTAAATTTCTCAAATCACCTTCAAACTATGTCATCAGATATAGCATTTTATAGAGCACAAAAAAGTAAAGGAGCATAATGGTGAAAATGAACGTCTGGGTTCTTTATTCTTAGCAGTGCATTGAAACAAAAATGATGCCATAACGTATGCTAGAATTATATAGCATGAACAAACAAACAAAAAAATGTATTTAAGCATCTGTGCTTATTATTGTCACTCCTTATCAGCAATAACAAAATAATCAGAAAAAAATGCATTCAGTTTGAAAAATTGAAGCTCTTTTTGAATGACCCAATATTATAAAAATAGTAGCTTTTCATGTAACTTTTTATTTAGTATCTTCATTTAATGACATCATAACTTTTTTCTGATAAATTATACTATAAAATTTATCTTTTAAATAGGAATTGATGCAGGATAAAAAACAATTGGAAGTTGAGCAAAGAGAACTTCAGAAAAGTATAGACTTTCTCAAATTCTTCTTTCAGAAGTTCAGGTAGCATTTGTATAGAAAAGAAATTGTACATTAATAGGTTAAAATACAAGCCCAAAGCTTTTTATATATTTGTATTTGTCTTTTGTACATTCATATAATTTTTTTCTCTGTTGTAAACTTAACTTATATTAGCATATCAATGATGCTATGTTAAATTTGATTTTTTAAGGCATTAAATTTTGTATCATTTTTATATGTACAAATTGTTTTTATTTTCATAAAAAAACTGTTTCATGTTTTCGAAAATGTGATTCCTGTTAGAATGGTAGGCTTAAGGCCTTTATTTACCATTTCTCATTTATATAAATGAAATATGTATATGATGTAAAAAAGTATGTAAGAAGAGCTGTTAGTTTTCTTTTGAAATATGTACTACACTGATAGGATTGAACTATGTCTGAAATTATTGTGTAAATAAATAAAAAAACCAAATAGCAATGCATGTGATAAATATTAAAATAATAATGTGTACTGTAACCTATTTTAATTGCAGCCAAAATTTTAGAAACTTTAAAAAAAAAAAAAAATTGTAACTTATATTAATTTATAAAGCAAATATTAGGATATTTGATTTAAATATGAAAGAGGTATTTATGTATAATATGCTATTTGTTATTAGGTTTTGAATTTTTTTCATATGCATAAAAAATGAATGTTGTAATAAGATATTGATTAAATGCATGATGTCTATTGTCTAATGATTATACTTTTGGCAAATCTAACTTAAAAGCATCATCAAAGATAGAATGACTGATTAATGCATCCCTTTTGAGTACTTCTTCGTACCAATGTTTCAAGTCCTTTTTTAATTTATAAATATTTAAAACTATGAAATTCTGTTTTATAAGCATGAATGTTTTGAAGGTAATTATAGTGTGTACAATTTGATCTAGATGCATTCTTTTCTAATAATAAAAAATGGCATCTTTTTTAACCCATTCACAGTGGGCATCTCTGTTACCGAAGCATTGTCTTGGGACAGCCCTTTAACCGGATGTGTTGTCATGTGGGGACGGGCAATTCGTGCTGCTAAGCCTAACTTTGGAAAAAAATTCGTATAAATTAAATTTTTCATCCAATTGTTTCAATTTTTGGTACAGTAGGAAAAGAACATTCAGGTAGTTGTCAGATTTAATTTTAAAGCTTTATTATTATGTATTTTCCTTAAACATTTTATAAAATACTCATTCTAGAATAATATAATTTTTCCCTTATCCCACAAATAAATATATATGGAAAAATATCCAAGCAATCACAGATTTTATTTTAACACAACACATAATTAAAATTAGAAAATATTAAAACTGTCTTTCATAAAAATTCAACATGCAAACAACGAAAAGGAAACAATATTTCAAAAATGAGACAGTGTATGATATTCTTTGAAACATGGGTGTAGGCAAAGTCCAAAGTTGTGTATGTCACAGGAATAGAATACCTGCTGTTATTTTAATGCCGGAAAACTCAAATAGTAATAAAAAAGTCTCTAATAATAGAGCCTCTACTCCACTATAATGGAATAAAAATAAGAAAATTTAATAAATTAAATTAAAAAGTATTCCAGAACATGTACATTTATATATATGAAGTGAGGCAGTAAGAGCCATTACATTACTCAACACTAATGAATTAGCATTGATGCCACTGATATTGATCTCAGTGCCCCAAAAATCTAAGAGTAATAAAAAAACAAATCTCTAATGGTAGAACATCTATCCCACTATGTAGCAAAATAAATCCCCTATGTCGCAAAAAGAACAAGGTAAATTCTTTAGCATCAAATGCAGGGAAAGGTGCATTTGTTTATGTCAAATGAGGCAGTTAAAGTGACATTACATTGCTCAACACCCACCCGAAACTAAATACCCCCAAAAAAATTGCCTAGAAATGAAGGTAAACATACTTGCCATATATTTCACCATAAGAGACTACAGCTACATCTGTGGCAATAAAAAATACTAGTTAAATGTTCTATTTAAAAAGTCAAATCTGGTTTCGTCCGGCCATAGAGTGAATTAAATGGGGATTCAAATATGACACACCTGGCGTGAGGTAATGTTTGCTGCTGATGCATATATGACAGGCTAGTACTGAACGGGTTAAAGCATATGTCATTTGTAAAATTAAAAAAGAATGTATGATAAGAATTGAATATGTAAAGAAGCATTATTAGGAATAGGCAGTTAATAAAACTTAGTTTGTTACCAGGTGTTATGTACCTGGTATACCCAGACATTTCGAGAGTTCAACTAAGTTATTGTTTTTTACCTTTTCAACAATCTAAATAATAATATAATTTGGTGTTTGTAGTTTTAACACCTTTTGTTAGAAGCATTTATTTGCATTAATTGATCTCTTTTACCAGAATAATTCTGAAATTATGTTACATGGCAAATTCATGTTACTTGTGCTTTACATTTACTTTTAAGTTAGATTTGCTAGGAATATAAGGTTTTTTGGGGGGGGTTGAATCTCATTTATGTTTCTTAATATAAAAACTGCAAAAGGTGTCGATCTTTATTTTGAAAGAAGTAGTGTGCTTTATATGTATAACTGTACACTATATGTCTTGTGAAGGAAAATTATTCTTTTTTTTTTTTTTTTTTTTTAAATCTGATATAAAATACAGTTAAGAAATTATTGTTCTATGTGATCTCTTTTGAACTAATTATTGAGAAACTGGGAGGGAGGAGATTAATGTTTTTTATTATCAGTTCTGATTTTCTTTAACAGGGCTCTGAAGTTTCATTTTTCCTAAAATTTGCTCTCTTTAAAGAATATAAATAGATTAATGCAATCTAGCTCTGATTAGAAATATCATGGAAAAGGCTCTGCTGCAAAATAATTGTGTGATTAAAAATAATCATAATATTATAATTGAAAATCTGTAAAACTATGAACTGATCTCTCTTTCAGAGCTGAATAATTTTGACTGATAAAGGAGTCTTTTTTATCATTTTGTTTATGACTTGCATATTTTACTTGTTTTGTAATCCAGTAACCATAATAATATTTTTTTCTAGAATTATAACGCTTATCAAAATTACTTTAGAGAAAATTTTAAATTTTCAGACATTTAATAATTTTTGTATGCAGTAGAATTCCAACAATTCATGAATGCTTGTAATTCATGTTCATTTTTGGTTGTGAATAAACAAAAATTCAGTTTTTTGAAAATTCAGCGTAGTAAATTTGAACTTTTTTCGCGAATGAGTATATGTACGTATGCAATAAACTTGACAAGTAAAATATGTAGTATATATAACTCATTTTAATTAAGAAGTAAATTAATTTTATTATAGAAGTTTATTCAGATTTCTCTGTGTAGGTGTTAATGTTTTCTCTTTTTTTTTAAATATATATAATAATAATAATATATATATATATAATACAAATCATGAATTTCTGCAGTTTTTTTTTATCTTAAATAATTACCTCCTTTTGAACAAATTACTTTTGAATCTATGTGATTAACATGCGGGAATTTATTTGCCCACAATTTTTCAGTTATTAAATGCAAGTGATATGCCCACATAACTGATTTATTTAAATTCTGTGTAATGTGCATGCTAATTTACATCACTAGAGAATGGGGATATGTTCTTAAAAATAGCACTTAATAGAAATTTTTGTGGCATTAAAAATGGAGAATATGTTAGTTGAAAGGAACTAAAGAACAGCGAAATTTTATTTCAATAAATCCATATTTTAATTCTAGCACTTTTAATTGAAGTTATTTTAATCAAGCTATACTTATATACTGAACATATTGATAGAATTATGGCAAGAATTCAATTTAAGGAAAATCGTACTGCTGAGGTTTTTGTAAATAATTTATTTTTTATTACTTTTAAGAGTGCATAGATTATTTTGGAAGAAAGTTCCTTTGTAAGTAATTTTTTTTTATTTCTACCCCCTCCCCCCCCCAAAAAAAAAAAATTCCCCCCCCAAAAAAAAATTCCTATATTATCCATTTTTTTAACATTTGTACTGGCATTATTTTCTTAGTCTATAATTTTATATACTAATAGTTTTAAATGTAATAAATCTTTATTAAATAATTCTTAAAGTGTGAGTATATTTTGTTTAGCTATTTATATGCAAGCATTTCAAATTCGGTCTAAAAATTAAAAAAAGGAAAACTATAAATAAAATTCAGGAAAACATTGCCTCTAATTAACCTGCAGAATTCTCTGCTTTGCACAATTGTTAGCCATAAGGTTTGTAAATTATTGGAACTCTACTGTACCAGTATTTAACATTAGCATAAGCCATTTACTTGTATTAAAAAGTAGTAGTATAATGTAATCAATGTGATTATGTGTGTTCTTATTTGCAGGGAAATTAAAATAAGTTGCTTATGCAAAAGTAGCTTGTTCCTATTTCTGATAAAATTACAAATTCAGCAACCAAAAATCATGGTCTTTATTTCCTTAAATCTGTTTGTGTTATATTGATATGTTGATAAAAATTGATTTTGCATTAATTTGGTTAACTGATTGAACTGTGAAAAATATACTGATCTCAAAATTTTACCACCTGTAGAAAATGCTTTTGTTTTTGTTATAGAATTGCAGTGGTAAAAGGGAAGTGCATACCCTTTCTCACTTGTTAAATATAGTATTAAAACTTGTGTAATGATAATATTATTTCTAAAATAATGAATAGAAATTCTTTATCATCTTGAACACATTTGAATTTACTGCCAGAATGTGTATATATGGGAAATGTTTCCCTTGATCAGTAATAAATTACATTTTCCTTCATCTGTATATTTTAACTATGCAAAAGATATATTAATGGTATTCATTATGTAATATAATATATGCAATAAGAAGTGAGATAAAAACTGTATATATTAATGTAAAAATTTTTATCTTAACAGATTTCATATTCAGATGTTTGTAATGCATACAGCAAGCCAAAAATCAAATGTACAGATTTAGTTTGGCGAGGATGCTTTATCATATATTTCAATTGAGCTGTTGCCAGAGGAACGCTCATTTCATGATTTGTGTAATAATATGAGGAACTTATTTTCTAGGCTTGGATTTCTTAACCTGATTGATACAACTTCTGTATAATAAAATAAAAAGTAGGGAATATGTACTTATTATAAATATATTTTTGTCATACCTGCTACTAATTTAGAGTTAATCTGCAATTAATATTTATTGTTCATTATTTTTCATATTTATCTTGGTATAAAAGAAAATAGCTACGTCCAAAAGTAAAAGCAGCACATATTTGATAGTTGCTAGGCTTAAAAAATTATAGCCCTAGAACTTTACCTTTGGTATCTGTGAACTTGGCTGTGAAGAAGAGTTTGTAAGCAGGTCCTGCTGTGAATGAAAACTATACATGATTATCAAAATTTCTTCAAAGTATTTTCCCACTGCCATGAGTGCATGTGATATATTAAGCCTGAGATTTCAGGAAATGCACAGCAATAAGAAGTTAGTGAACAACTCTAAAAATCCTGAATGAACTAATATCCTGAAAATCTGATGTGCAGTTACTGCACTATAATTAACTATTTTTGGGGTGGATTGGAATAACTAAGAGGTATGGAAAAGCAAAAAAATCATATTTTTGTAGGTTTCATCCTGTTTTTGGTCCAGAGCATACCAAAGGATAGTATTCATTTTAAAAATTTCTATAATGTGCCTTTGAAATGTAATTCATTTTTAAGTAATAGATTTCAACTCATTATTTGTAAATTTTTCTAGCAATAATAAACTGTACAATGAATGGCTGTCTCAGAATGAATTTTTTTGGGGGGGGTCATGTTGATGTGTGTATAAGAAACATTTGTGTAAATATTGATTTTGGGTTATAAAAAATATATAAATGCATGAAAATTCATAAAATTAAGGTGTAATTTATGTTATTAATCCATACAAATTGAAGGGGAAAGTATTTCATTTGAACTTGTATTAGTTTATGTTAAAGAAAACTGTCAAGTATTTTGCAGTGTTTAAAAGCTTTTTAATATTATTAAAAAAAGTGTGAAGAATATTTTAAAAAAATTAAAAACAAATTCTCCCCTCCCCCTTAACAATTTTATTTCTCCCTTCTGTCTCCTTCCTTTCCCCAAGATGCTGACATTTTAGCTAAACTGATGTGAAATTTTAGATGATTTAAGTTCATAAAATGATTTTAATACTTTGTAGAACTGAAAATGGATTTTCTGTGAAGCATTATTTGTCCTTT